ATCAGAGATGAACTCTGAAGACATTATGCTACATGAAATAAGCCAATGTCGAAAGAAAGTTCTATATGATTTCAGCTTATCTGTCTTTAAATGCTTTGAGTAGAGAGTATCAAAGGGACAAGAAAGTAGAATGATGGTTTTCAGAGCTGGAGGGTGATCCACAGGGAGTTACTGTTTTGTCTTTCTTTCATTTTGGTCGATAGGTTTTCAGTTTGGGAGCCATACCCAATACTACTCAGGGACTTCTTTTGGCTCGGTGCTCAGGGGTCAGTCTGTTGGACCATCTCTTTGGGCTAGGTAGGTTGGTATTTGATGGATCTAGAGTTTAAATGTGGGAAGATGAAAAATATTCTGAATAAGGACGATGACATTGGCACACAGCTAATATGAGCATGTTTAACACGGCTGAACTGTACAACCACACACTGAAAAATGCTTAAGAGTCTAAACTTTGGGCCAGTGAGATACTACCATGGAGGAGGGAGCTTGCCTTGCACACAGTTGACCTGGGTTTGATCCCCGACACCCATATGGTCCTCTGAGCACCACCAGGAATGATCCCTGAGTGCAGAGTCAAGAATAAGTGCTGAACACTGTCAGGTGTGACCCCAAACCAAAAGCAAACCAAAAGAGATAAATTTTATTCTCTGTTTTTATCACAATTTTTAAAATGTGATGCTATTGTTATCCAAGAGAAAAGAAACAAGTATTGGAGAGAGTGTGGTAAGAAGGGAACGTGTATACGCTGTTAGTGGGAAAGTAAATTGAGGTAGCCATTATGGAAAGCAGTGTGGAGCATTGTATTTATATTTAAAAAAGCCCACGTCCAAAATAAATATAGACCTTCATACTTACTGCAACATTGTTTGCAATAGTCATGAAGTGGAAACAATCTAAGGGTTCATTGAGAAATAATTGGATAAAGAATATGTGGTAGGTAGGGAATGGGGTTTGGAGTTTTACAGTAAAGCTATTATGTTGAATGTGTGAGGCCCTGGGTTCCATCTTTGACACTTCACACACATACACACACACACACACACATACACACACGGTGTGGTATGAATATAGAGCAGAATACTACTCAGCAATAAAAAATGAACTCCTGACATTTATAATATGGCTATAGCTTGAGGGTATTAAGATTAATACCCTGCCACAGAGGCAGGGTGGGATGGGGGGGGTGGGTGTGGGAGGGATACTGGGATCCATGGTGGTGGAAAATGGGCACTGGTGGAGGGATGGGTACTTGATCATTGTATCGAAACCCAAGCACAAAAATTTGCAAATCTACAACTGTACCTCACGGTGTTTCACTAATAAAAATTTAATAAATAAATAAACAAATAAACTGATAGTTAAAAAAAAAGATTAGAGAAATAAGACAGAGAAAGGCAAACAACTTTGATTTCTCTCCTAAGAGGTATAGAGAAAAAACAAAGCGAATGGAGGGACTAAATCCAGCAAAAAACAAAAATGGTTTAGCAAAAGGAAAGAAGGAAATGGGAGGGGAAATGGCAAAAGCGGGATATGGTAAAAGATAAAAAGAGAACTTTAAGTATTATTTTCCTTTTTGGTGGTGGTGGGGAGGATTGGGCATACTCCTGGCTCTATACTCCTGGTGTGCTTAGGGGACCAATGTAGTGATGAGGTTTGAACTTGGGTCTGACACATGCAAAGCAAGCACCTGTACTATCTCTCTACCCCCTATCCATTTGTCTGGAGGCCACATGGTGTTCAGGGGTGTCTCCCAGATCTGTGTTTGAAAGCTATTCCCTTTGGTGCTCATAGGACCAATGGGTGCCAGGGATCGAACCGGGGTCAGCGATGTGCAAGGCAAGTACCTTGCCTGCTGTACTATCAGTGCAGCCCCAAGATAGTAACTTATTTTAACCTGCAAATTAAAAGAAGAACTCTTGAGCTTCATACTGATACAAATGAATAAATACTTGGGGAAGAAGGGAAAGTACTTCTTCACCATAAAATCCCAGTCACACTCATAAAAGAAAGGCATCCTTCAGCCACCATCATAGTAATTGCCTCAGGCATGGATCCCCAATGAAAGTTAAACTTGTGAGTGGACAAAAAAAATTTGCCACATCCGTCACTGTTTAGAGCTTATTACTCCAGCTCTGCGTGCAGGGATCACTCCTGGTGGGGCATGGATGAGCCTATGGAGTGCTAGGTATTGAACACGGGTCAGCTGAGTGCAAAGCAAGCTCCTTACCTGCTATACTATCGGTCGGCCACAGTAAGTGGAAATTTGAGAGAAAACATGAGACTTGCACAGTATCAAAGTATCTTCCTACAAAACAGTTATTAACTACAAGAGGGAAATCACACATTTACAGGGGAGAAACTTGGAAGACTCTGCCTTAGTCAAATGATCAAAGCTAACACCTACCATTTTGGAATTAGTCAATACCTTGTGCCTCCTTTACACTGAAGAAAGTGTCTACCATGTGGAATTCCTGCGAAAAAGGCAGAATTCAGACCTAGTCCCCAGGAAATATCAGATAAACCAAAACTGAAGGACATTTCCCCCCAGGAACTGACCTAATCTCTTCAAAACCATCAAGATCATGAAATATAAGAGAAGAATGAAACTTGTTTCAGGTTGAAAATACTTGAAAATAGAATGCATCTCATGACCTAGGATTTTCCTGTAAGAGGATAAAAAGAGCACAACTCACTCAAAGGCTAAGAATCAATGTCTGATAACAAGGATTAGCAAAGATGTGGAGAAACTGGAACCCTCATACTCGTCTAGTAGGAATGCAAAAGAATGTCTTTTTTTCTTAGAAAAATCAAACCCAAGTATTTAGTTGAAAGGGCATTGTAGCTGCAACCTCTACCAAATGATTTAGAGCTTATTACTCCAGCTCTGCGTGCAGGGATCACTCCTGGTGGGGCATGGATGAGCCTATGGAGTGCTAGGTATTGAACACGGGTCAGCTGAGTGCAAAGCAAGCTCCTTACCTGCTATACTATCGGTCGGCCACCGTAAGTGGAAATTTGAGAATGATTTAGGGAAAGGTGGTGGGGAGATGGCCCTTGGGATTGGAACACATTTGCAAAGCTATGAGTTCAATTCTCATCACTGCTGGGAGGAGGGGCCCGCTGGCTGTAGGCCCTGTGGCCACTGTCCCCCAACCTTACCACCTCTGTGGGTGGCCCCCAAATTAGATATATACAAAAATAAGTATGTTATTGTTATGAGGCTTGACACTTTTCCTGGAATTTTTTTTGCCAACCCAAAGAGTGAGAAATGGAATCTCATTGTTGTAATTTGCATCTCTTTAATTACAGAGGAACCATGAAGAATGTCCCAGAAACCATAACCCCAAAAATGATGACAAAAGCTATAACATTTCAGACGTTGGAGTGCCCCCCTCCCTACTAAATTCCAGTGGTTTAAAAAAAAAAACCCTAACAACAAAACACCACACCTAGTAAACATGAAATGGTGTCTGATTGTTTTACTCTTGTATTTCCTTGATAACTAGTGGCAGGGTGCACCTTTCATTTATTACACATGCTGGTTATTTCAGGTGAATTCTCCTGTGAATTGTCTATACAGATCACTGTCCATTTTTGAGCACTGTTTGTACTTTTCTTATAGATTTGTTGATGTCCTTTCTATGTCTAAAATCTAGACACCAGTTCTTTGTCACAGAAATCAAAAGACTAGATGGAAACAAGTCTGTAAAGCTCAGGGTGACGCATTGGTTTTAAACGCCCACTCTTGCAACTCAGGAAAATATTTCTGGCATGTGCTGTGGGTCATTGTTGACTCAACTTGAGTATGTTAGACACCTGAAGGGAAAAAATTAGAATTCAGTCTAATTCTTAAAATGTATGATCTGTTGTCTGCTGTTAAGGAATTTGTTTTCATTCATCTAGCCCATGTAGTTATTCATTATCTATATATGCTCTGATGATGTTAAATTCTTTCCTTGGTAACAGGCAGATAATCACTTATGAGTTGAAACTCCATTGAACTTCACTTGAGCGTTTCCCCCCAAGAGTCAGACATTCCAGTTTTGCCATCGGTGTTTGCAAGCAAAGAACAGACGCTCTTCTGCTTAACAGAAAGGGTTACTGACGTGCATTGAGTAAGCATGTCTTGCCCTCACTATATTAGCAGGCGTTTATTTAATTAGAATCTATTTTCCTTAACCCTTCAGCTTACTGTGGGGTCCAGCCAGCTCGACCATGACTACCTTCTCCCTTCCACAACAGAGCCAAGCATTTAGTACGCTCTCAATCAATGCTCCTTCGGAAAATGGACAGAGCAGTCCCCAGTGACTGCACAGTGGAGGAGGCCGACAGCAAGTGCTGCATAAAATCCTTAGAGTGGGTGCAGATAACGCCTCATACAAGCCTTTGTTGGGGATGCTCTAAGTACTTTAGAAACGCGCCCCCACCCCCATCCGCGGGCTCTGTCCCAGTTTCCCGGCTCACAGGGAACGCGGACAAGTTGCTGCCGTCAACTTCAATTATAGGAGGTAATTAAGTAGGCAGATTAATTTTCAGCGAACATCCAAAGAGTCCCCAGAGGAAAAACAGGTAACGAAGTCGTGCTCCTAAGGGGACACTGCCAGTACAAATACCGCTCCTGGCGCCGGGAAAGGTTGCAATTTCCTTTCCTGCTCTCAACGAATGGGAAAGAGGGATAAGAGTGGATTTTCCCATCTGTGAAGCGGGAGCACCGCCATGCACAGTAACGTCAAGTGACGTGCGCAGGTGAGCAGTTTTAGGGGGGAGCCGGCTTTCCGTCCTCCCTCCCCCAACCTTTCCTAGTTCAACTCTCAGGGGCTAGGAATCTGGCAATTCGGACGTTTGCTGTTGGACAGCCAGACTTCCTGACGCGAACGTTCAGGGGCAGGGACATCAAGGAGACCGAAAGGTGCCAGAATGAAGAATCCGCCCGCTGCGGAGCTCCGGCGCCGCACTCCTCTCAACCTCGCGCTCCTCCTTCCCTCGATCCTCCCGCTCCCCTCCTCCTCCGACCCCGCCCCGATTCTGCCCTCTCATTGGCCAAGCCCGCCGGCCGGGCCTCCCCCCGGATTTAAAGGGCCCGCTCTCTGCGCCGCCTTGGGAACCGCAGCTGGTCCCGGCCTTGCGGCCTGCGGGGGAGGCTGCCCGGAGGAGGCGGTGACGGTGGCGGCGGCAGTGCGTCCCGGGCCCCCAGGACCGTGGCTTCCTTCCTGCCAGGTAGGTCTCCAGGAGTGCTCACGCGGCTCCCTTGCTCCCATCCTGAGCCGGCCTCCCAACGCGAATCTGCAGCGCGTGCCCCGGGCCCCCCTCTCCATCACCTTTCCGACTCCCCCGCCTGCTATGTCCCCTACCACCACCTCCACCTCCCTGCCGCCCCCGGGCATGGGTAGGGCTTTGTTGGCAGCTTCGAGAGACCGGGTGGGGGTGAGATGGGGTGTGCGGAGGATACAGGACACCCCCCACATCCGTACAAGGACAGATGCACACGGCCCCGAGTGTCACAGGATCTCCCTCTCTGCCCTCCACAGAGTGACTCTACCTTGGAAACCAGGGAGCCTCTCCCCCATTTGCTATAGGGGCCTATACACCATTCAATCACCACCGGACCGGACTGTTCACAGCAAACAAGAGACATTGGTCCTTCCTTCACCACAGGTCATGGGCTGTGTGTGTGCGCACCCAGGACACCCACATGCACACAGTTCGTGGCTCAATCTGTTGTGCCTGACACTTACATCCTCCCCGAACCCCCCAGTATCCTGTCTCTGCATGGGTTGGGCTGACCCACACTGAAATCTCAGTGCTCACGTCCATCCCTTGCCCTGTGGTCATCCCAGGCACCGTCTGTGTCCCCCACTTTGGCAGGTCTACCCATCTGTCCAACCATCCGTGGGGGTCCGCAATGGCTACCTTTAGCCGCCAGGAATTTTTCCAGCAACTGCTGCAGGGCTGTCTCCTGCCTACTGCCCAGCAGGGCCTTGACCAGATCTGGCTACTCCTTGTTATCTGCCTCGCCTGTCGTCTCCTCTGGAGGCTTGGTAAGTGCCTGCCGCACCATGTGCTCCCAGCACCAGGCCATATCACATTTGCCACGTTCCTCCATGCCAAGCCCCACCTTCTCCTGCCACGTCTTGCCAGGCCAAGCCAGGCTCCAACACGTCCTGCCACCACATGCCTCCAAGCCAAGCGCCATTCCACCACGTCCAGCAGCCCATGCCACCCCGGCCAAACCACATCCTGCCAATGCCAAACTCTGCCTTTCTGTGTTCCTGGGCTCTGGGATTGTGTGGAAGGCTGAGGTTCCCGGATCTTGGAGTTCTGAAAAGGTCGCTATCCTAAGGTGGTAAGATTCTGAAATGCCAATGCCACAGGATTATGGAATCCCACAGTACTCCCCTCCCCCACCTCAGTGACAGGGCTTGAGAATTCTGACATCTGAGGCTTCCCAAATGTTGCCATTTGGTGCTGGGGATGGAGCTTAGTGGTAGAAAACTTGCCGTACACTTGCGAGGCTCTGAGGTCGTTCCCTGGCACTGTCTAAAGCCTTTATTTTGAATTTGGAGGACCTGATGAGAATCTCAGACTTGAGAATTCTAGAATGTTTTCCCATTGGTAAATAGCCCAATGATAAGGCATCCTAAAATTCCTAGAGGGTGCTAAGATTTCTGCACACCAAAACCCAAAAGGTTCAGCACTTCCTTGTTCTTTGCTTCAAAATGGCTCTTTTGATGTTTTCCCAGGTTTATCATTTTGAAATATTCCCACGTAACCAAAAAGTTGCAAGAATGGTACAAGGAACATGCATATATGCAGTCAAGATTTTGCCACGCTAAATTTAGTCATCTCTCACTCCCCATCTTTTTCTGAGTCCCTCGAATCACCTGCTGACATCATGACATTTCACTCCCAATCCTTCAGTGTGTACCCCCCCAAACAAGGACATTTTTCTCTGCCACTACAACCTCAGCCATCAGTGTCCCCGGAAATTGAATTTGGATATAATATCCAACAGAAATCGATAGGCATATTTTCTCTAAGGCTCCACAAATGCCCTTCGGAGACCTCTCTTTGCTTTCCACCCAGCCCTGTCATCTCTCCTGCTACAGCCCTACCACCATCCATCCTCAGAGCTTTGACCCAGACTGTATCCTTGGCCTAAGGGATCCTTCCTTTCTACCAACCCACCCAAACTTCCCCTGTGGTTTCCTCTCTCTCTTTCTCACCCAAGGGTTACCCTCCTACTTGAAGCACGCAAGCACCGTGGCCGGCGGGTTCTTCAGCCTCTACCACTTCTTCCAACTGCACATGGTTTGGGTCGTGCTGCTCAGCCTCTTGTGCTACCTCGTGCTGTTCCTCTGCCGACATTCCTCCCATCGGGGCGTGTTCCTCTCCGTCACCATCCTCATCTACCTGCTTATGGGGTATGGATGATTTCCCCGGGCTGTGTATGGGCAGAAGGCTGGGTGGCCCTCCTCCTCCAGGGGCTGTCCAGGGTGGGGATGGGGATGGTGGGGCGGCTCGGAGACTTGGTTGGTATTTTTCCCTTTAAAGGCTGTTACAGTATAGGTTGGGCTTGGGCTCCCCCTGGAGGAGGGAGTCTTGGAGAATAGATTCCTCCTAAAGGTTATGCGGCACCGGGAAACTCTAGCCTTCTCTGCACCTGGGTTGCTATTCCTGCCCTCTCAGTCCCCCTACCCCCATGGTCTCGGAAACCGTGGTGGTCAAGGGGGCCAAGACCACCCCCTTTTTTCCTCAGTGAGATGCACATGGTGGACACCGTGACATGGCACAAGATGAGAGGTAGGCAGCCCTGGCCCTTGTACCTGCCCCCACTTCTTCTAACTGCCTTCACCAGCTTTTCCTTCCACACTTTCCTCCCTCATCGGCCTACCCCACTGGGCCTCAGACTCCCCTGGTATCTGTGTCTTTCTCTACCATGCCTTTCCCCTGGGTCCATCTGGCCTCTCTCGTGTACATACCTGGCTCTCAGAAGTAAAGGGCGTCTGCTTGGCCTGGGCCGGTCTGTCCGTCTGGCTCTTGGCCTCCCTGTCCACCCCATCCTCTGCTTGTCCACCTCTCACCTGGTACTCCCCACCCCTCCATGCTGATCGACTCTCTGCCCGTGCACATGACCATGGGCACCACACATAGGGGCCCAGATGATCGTGGCCATGAAGGCGGTGTCTCTGGGCTTCGACCTGGACCGGGGCGAGGTGGGTGCTGTGCCCTCGCCCGTGGAGTTCATGGGCTACCTCTACTTCGTGGGCACCATCGTCTTTGGGCCCTGGATATCCTTCCACAGCTACCTACAGGCTGTCCAAGGCCGCCCGCTGGTGAGGTCCTGGGTGGACAGGTGGGCAGGGACTGTGGGAACCACCACGGGGCATTGCTCACGGAGCCTTGATCCCTACAGAGCCGCCAATGGCTGCAGAAGGTGGCCCGGAGCCTGGCGCTGGCCCTGCTGTGCCTTGTGCTGTCCACCTGTGTGGGCCCTTACCTCTTCCCGTACTTCATCCCCCTCGATGGTGACCGCCTCCTTCGCAAGTGAGCACAGCTTTCGAGGCCTCTGCCCAGCAGTGAGGGGGTCGGGTAGGGACCTGGGGTCTTACCAGCTCTGAGCCTGTCTCTTAATGCTTCTGTCTGTCTTCTGTTACTACAGCAAGAAACGCAAAGCCAGGTAAATGAGGGCAGGTGCTGTGAGTGAGCTGGGCTGATGGTGGGGTGGGAGGGCAGGAAGGGAGGAGAGGGGCTTGGGGGTGCAGTCGGTGACCGATTGGATGTTGGCATCTGTGTCCCCATTTACCCACTCCCCCACCCAGCTCAAAAGAGAGTGGGCTGTCTTCTGTGTGTTTGACCGAGCGCTGGGACTCGGTGTCACAGACTGTGTGGCTGTCCATCTGTTCCGCGGTTTGGCTGCTAGAAACGGGCTATGTGACTGCAGCAGGGATGGACAGGTGTGTATGTTTGGCGGTGCGGAGCTGATCTGTCTCTGGGCCTCGGGTTAGCAGCACCGTCCTTGTGGTTTGCTGAGCAGCCATTGACTTCCCATGTGGGAATGGCATTCTGGCTGGCTTGTCCCTTTGTCACAATGGGGTGTGTGGCTGTCATCAGAGAGAGGTCTGGCCTGTGGATAATTTGGGCTGGAAGTCAGGCAGACCGGAGGCTGTGTGTGCGTGTCTACAATCCATTCTGCTCTCTGACTGTGTGGTATGGAGCCAACAGGTCGTCCCTCTCTGCAGGACTGACCAGTGGGGGGGGCGGTCAGGGGGGGAACACTACCAAATATTTGGCAGCCAGAGAGGTAGGGCGGCGGGGATGTGCTTGCCTTGCATGCAAGCGACCTGGGTTCCATCGCTGGCACCTTCCTGAGCACTGAGCACAGATGTGGGCGCAAACTCCCACAAACCCCAAAATGTCACCCTGCTGCTTCATTATGTCACCCCTTCCTCACCCCCTGGCTGCTGATTCTAGCATATGCTGAATGAGGCTCCACAAGGTCAGGTGACTTCCTCAGTGTCACCCCAGTAAGCAGTTAGGCAGTCACCCCAGGTTTGCTTCCAGAATATCTGCCTTGCCCAGTGCAGGACACTGCCTGTTTGGGATCAGACATAGTGATTCCTTTGCAGCATATACTGGGGGGAAGTCACAGCAGGGTGCTGAGCTCTGTACCTAATTGCAAGGAGGATTTCTGTCCATCTCTGGTCACTGGGTGAAATTAGAGACGGGGCATTTGGCCACTAGGACTTATGTCTGCTCCCCACCCCTGTAGCTGGAGCAGGCACAGGGCTATGAGGCAGGGTCGCTGGCCATGGGAGGGTCTGGCTGTCCCACCAAGTGAGGCATCAAGTGAGGCTGCAGGAGCACGGCCTATTATCGGGCTGCTCCTACATCACTTGAGCCACATGCCACTAAACCAACAGTATATGTAAGTGTGTGAGTATCACAGCCCACCAATTTGTACCAACACATTTCTGTCTGTCTTGTCTACGAACCACTCGGGCCAGCCTCCAGGGTCTCTCTGACTCTCTTTCTTTTCTTCTCTGCTGCCTTCCTGACCCCTTGGGGGCCCTAGGGGCGCCATGGTAAGGTAAGTTCACAGAGAGGGGCTGGCGATACTGAGGCATGGTGGGCTGTTAGGTTGTGCTGAACCTGATGCCTACCTCCCCCTCCCCACCCCCTTCGTTCCTCTCTCCCCAGGTGGCTGCGAGCCTACGAGAGTGCGGTCTCCTTCCACTTCAGCAACTATTTCGTGGGCTTTTTGTCTGAGGCCACAGCCACGTTGGCAGGGGCCGGCTTCACCGAGGAAAAGGATCACCTGGAATGGTGGGAGGGCCAGTGTGGGGGTCCTACTGTTAAGGGTTGCTTCTGGGAAGAGCTACAGGGAGGAGGACAGGTGCTCCTGGGGGAGGGAGGAGGCCAGAGAAAAGTGTAGGGCTCAGATGGGTTGGGGGAGATCCCAAATCAATGTGTCCATCTCTTCTGCCCACAGGGATCTGACTGTGTCCAAGCCCTTGAATGTGGAGTTGCCCCGGTCCATGGTGGAAGTGGTCACCAGCTGGAACCTGCCCATGTCTTACTGGCTAAATAATTGTGAGTCACTGAGCCAGCACTCACAGAGAGCAGAGAGTCCTTTACCCAACCCCATCATGTCATACAGCAGCATCTGCTCAGTACTTGGTTCTGAGTGCTACAGGGACCAAACATTCCACATCCCTGCCCTTATGCTATCATTGTTTTCTTTGGGGGGGGGGTGTAAGGGTTGGGTCACACCCAGTGGTGTTCAAGGCTTACTACTGGTTCAGTGCTCAGGGATCACTTCACTTCTGGTGGCTCAGGGGACCATATGAGGTGCTGAGGATTGACCCCCAAGTCAACTACATGTAAATAAAATGCCCTACTCACTGTACTATCACTCCAGTTACATGGGATCATTTTTGGTGGGGCTCTAAGGACCATATACATACAGTGTTGGGGATGGAACCTGGGTAAGCCACACACAAGGCAACAGCTTTTTTCTGTGTATTATCGGCTCCTTCCCTGTCGTTAGGAAGTTGCCATTTTTATTTGGGGAGCAGATCATAAATAAGAGAGAAAATACAGGTGAGTTCAGACGGGGGACTAGAGGGAGAGGAGAGCAGGTTTGGCACTTGCCTTACATGAGATCGACCTGGGTTTGATCCTGGACACCACTTAGAGTCCCTTGAGCCCCACTAGAAGAGATCCCTGAGCACAGATCCAGGAGCAAATCCTGAGCATCGCTGAATGTGGCCCAAAAACCAAAACAAAGAAAAAAGAGTTCAGGTGGTCACAAGTGCTCTGGTAATAATAATCAAGAAAGAAAACAGGTAAAAATGAAAGTGTTAGCAGGCCTGGAGTGGGAGGAAGAGATTGGACTTTTTTTTTTCTTTTTGGGTCACACCTGGAGATGCTCAGGGGTTACTCCTGGCTCTGCACTCAGGAATTACTCCTGGCAGTACTCAGGGGACCATATGGGATGCTGGGGATCGAACCCGGGTCGGCTGCGTGAAAGGCAAACGCCCTACCCGCTGTGCTCTTGCTCCAGCCCCTGACTCCTTATTTTAAATAAGTTAACCAGAGCAAGTCTCATTAGGGAGGAAACTTTTGAATTAAGACCTGAGGAGTGTGAGGCATTAAGCAATGTAATAAGCGAGGGAGGAGTGTGAATGATGAAGTAATCAGCCAGTGCAAAGGCCCTTAGATGTATGTGGCCTCTTTCATTGGCAGAACAGCAAGAAGAACAGTGAGGCAGGAGCACAGTGAATGAGGGGGAGCACAGATAGGCAGTGAGGTGTGAAGCTGAAGAGATGACAGAGGTCTGTCCTTGTAAGATCATAGAGAGGATTGACTTTGTTCTTTTGGGGGGTGGACTCCCAAGGAGTTTTCAGGAGGGGTTTGTGTTCACTCCCAGAGATCTTCAGCAAACCTAATGGACCTAAAGGTTCACTGCTCAGGCTCAACAGTACTAGATGCCACCAGGGTCAACCCAGCAGTGTTCATCGACCTCCAGGGCCATGCCCAGTGGTATGTGGGGGGAGCCACAGTGTCCAGGCATGCAAAACATGTGCTATATAACTCAAACTTAGTGTTGGTGCAGAGAGAGCATGAGGAGAGAGCAATGCTGTGTGGCTCTGGTAACCAGCACTATAGGCCAGGCCCAGCCCTTAGGCCCACACCGCTGCACTAAATACTTCCAGGATTGATCCCCAGTCCCAGACACTGCTGGGGAGACCCCTAAACATATTTGGATTTTTTGGGGGACAGCACCCTTGCAGTGCTCAGGGGTTACTCCTGGTTTTGCTCTTAGGAATGAATGCTGGCAGGGTTCAAGGACCACATTGAATACCAGAGATCAAAGCCAAGGTCTGCCGCATGCAAGGCAAATGCCCTACCCGCTGTAATATCTCTCCATTTCCCTATACTTTTTCAAAATTTTTTTCTAAAACAGGGTTGAATGGGGGCCAATGTGATAGTATATTGGCAGGGCATTTGCCTTGCATAGGGCTGGCCCCAGAACCTGATATGGTCCCTTGAGCCCTGCCAGGAGTGATCCCTAAGCACCGAGCCAGGATTAAGCCTTGAGTACCAACTTATGTGCTGTACCCCACTAAAAAGTGAGCAGGGGCTATAGATGCTAAAAGGGCTGAAGCAAATACTTAGTATTTGAGTGCCCCAGGTTTGATCCCCAAGCCATACTCTCTCCCAAGCAGTGTTGCCCAGGATAGTCTCTGAGCACAACTGCTGAGTGTAGCCCCAAATTAAACTATAATATTTTTGGTTTTGGGTCACACCCAGAAGTTTTCAGGGCTTACTATTGGCTCTGTATTCAGGGATCACTCCTGACAGGGCTCAGGGGACCATACAGGGTACCAGGGATTAGACCTAGGTTGGCCACATGCAAGGTAAGCTCTACCCTCAGTACTATCACTCCAGCCCCAAATCACCGTCACTGTCACTGTCCTCCCATTGTTCATCGATTTGCTTGAGCGGGCCCAGTAACATCTCCATTGGAGACTTTGTTGTTACTGTGTTTGGCATATCGAATTCATCACGGGTAGCTTGCCAGGCTCTGCCATGCAGGCGAGATACTCTCGGTAGCTTGCCGGGCTCTCCGAGAGGGGCGGAGGAATCGAACTCGGGTCGGCCATGTTGTCTGCATGCAAGGAAAATACCCTACTGCTGTGCTATCACTCCAGCCCCCCAGCCCCAAATAGTTTTTATAATTTTTATTTAGAACCATAGTTAATAAAGTTATTGATAGTTGAGTTTTAGATCTACTATGTTCCAGCACCAATCACACCACCAGTATCAGCTTCCCTCCACCAGTTTCCCCAGATTTTCTTTTTTTTTCAGTTATTTTTAATTTATTTGTTTTTTATTTATTTATTTTTATTAGTGAAACACCATGAGGTACAGTTATAGACTCACAAATTTTTGTGCTTGGGTTTCAGTTATACAATGATCAAGTACCCATCCCTCCACCAGTGCCCATCCTCCACCACCACGGGTCCCAGCATCCCCCCCACCCCCCATCCCCCCGTCCCACCCTGCCTCTGTGGCAGGGTATTCCCCCTTGTTCTCTCTCTCTTCTTTTGGGTACTGTGTTTTGCAAGAGAGGCATTGAGTGGCAATCATGTTTGGTCTATAGACTACTTTTAGCATGCTTCTCCCACCCTTCCCCAGATTTTCTTCCAGACCCCACACCCCAGCCTGCCTCTTTAACAGGCTAAATAAAAATAAGATTTGAAAAAACTCAGGCTTGGCTGGAGAGATAGAACAGTGGGTAGAGCACTTGCCTTGCATGGGGCCAACCTGGGTTTGATCCCTGACACCACTTATGGTCTCCAAGCTTGACCAAGAGTGATTCTTGAATGCAGAGCCCAGAGAAGTAAGTCCTGAGTACCACCAGGTAAGGCCCCAAACGCAAAGCAATAATCATTATCAATCAAAGGAGCTACATTTCAGATATGTGATATATCCCAAAGCCACCATAAAGACTTTATCCCTGAGGCTTCCAACAGGCTCGGGGATTGTCTTCCCTCTGTACTCAGGGCCCCCAGAAGGCAGGGGATTCTCAGGAGACTCTTGACCTCCATCTCCTTCCTCCAGATGTTTTCAAGAATGCTCTCCGCCTGGGAACATTCTCTGCTGTGCTGGTCACCTATGCGGCCAGCGCCCTCCTGCACGTGAGTAAAGTCAAGTGGGATCAGGGTGGAATCGGGGCAAGGGTGACAGGGCCCCCACCTTCACATACTCATCCCTGCATCTCCCAGGGTTTCAGTTTCCATCTGGCGGCAGTGCTGCTATCCCTGGCGTTCATCACATATGTGGAGCATGGTGAGTGCAGAGCTGGGCCCAGCAGACTGGATGGAAGGCTGCTAGGGAGGTGGGAAGATTGGCACTGCCATTCCCTAAGGCTAACCTGACCCTATTTCTCCCCTTCCCCCTGCCCCAGTCCTTCGGAAGCGCCTGGCTCGGATCCTCAGTGCCTGCGTCTTGTCAAAACGATGCCCACCAGACTGTTTGCACCAGCATCGTTTGGTGAGGAATCAGCCTTGGCAGCCTGGTGTGCCCCATTACTTTCCCTCACAGAAGGCATTTCTGTCTCCATCTTAGGTCTACTCCAGGGTGCCTGGCTTCTTCTTCTGGTGCTCGGACTAGCTCCCTAAACACACCTTGAGTCACTGGCATCCGTTTCTCTAACATTTATCCAGCGCCTGCTGCATACTCTCCTGGCACTCATCTCCCACCTCCCATTGCCAGTGAACACTTATTAAGCACCTGTGGGTACAAGGCACTGTGAACCAAACTGGACAAAATGCCTTTGGGAACAAACATTTCAATAAGGGAGGCAGAATATTCAAAGCATCAGAAGTCCATCAAGCACAATAGCTTGGTAGCCTATAATTAACTCAAATGGGAAAAATATGTAAGGAAGGCCTAGAAACTGCCAAGGTGAAAGGTTTGCATCTTACCTTAGAGAGGTGCCTTAAGGTCTTTAGCCTAAATGTGGAGGGGCGAAAGGAGCAACGTGTGTCAAGATGCTTCATGCAGAGAGGCCCAGGGGTTGCTGAGAAATCCCAAAGTGGTGTGGCTTGAGCAGAGTGCACGGAGAGAGAAGGTGGGAGGAATGGGCCCCTGGGGTGCTTCCGTGCGTGTGTTTGCATTCAGCTCTTGATAAGAAGTCTGGACAACTTCAGATTTCTCTCCTGCCCTACCACCCATGCTTCTGACCATCATTCCACCTTCTCTGTCTGAATACTGTGGTCTTCCCCCAAACCTGATGCCCTTATGCTAACAGTACCTTAACAGTATCCTCATCCTTGGGTACCCCTTGAGCTCCCAGAGGAGCTCCCTACCCCAGGTGATGCCTGGGACATCATCCTTCTTGGGACCCATTGGGCCTGGAGCATCTCTCCTGGGCTCCCCTACCCAGGTAGGGTGAAGTACAAGTCCAGGTGCCAAGCCCTCTGTCCCCCACAGGGCCTTGGGGTGCGAACCTTAAACCTGCTCTTTGGGGCCCTAGCCATCTTCCACCTGGCCTACCTGGGTTCCCTGTTCGATGTCGATGTGGACGACACCACAGAGGAGCAGGTGAGGTGGGGCCCTGGGGTAGGGGTGACCCAGGGATGTTGCTACTAGCTCCTGGGAACCATGCAGGCCTGGGTGGGAGGCTGAGGCAGGAGGGCCTGTGCTGCATGTCTCTAGCTTATGCACTCAGACCTCCTCGGTTCCATCAGGCCTCTGCTTGATTCCCACTGTTGGGGTGGTGTGAAAAATATGTGAAATTAACTTACAAACTTTATTTTGTAGACACGGAGTACCAAACCCAGTTTTTACTTTGGGTAAACCCAGCATTGCTCAATGGGCTATTCCTGACTCAGTGCTTAGGAGTGACCCCTGGTGGTTCTGGGGAAGGAGGGAATCATCCCATGTGGTGTCAAAGATCAAACAAGGCAAATGCCTTCTTCACCTCTATATTAGCTCTCTGTTCCCTGGGATTTTTGCTTTTTGGAGGGTAGGGGTTGGATTTGGGCCACACCCAGCAGTCTCACTTGGCAGGGCTCAGGGTACCTTATAGGGTTCCAGAGATGGAACCCAGGTTGGCCATATGCAAGGCAAGCACCCTGTCCATTGTACTATCTCTCCAGCCCTGGTCCCTAGGTTTTATTTTTTGTTTGTTTGTTTATGGTTTTTGGATCACACTCTACAATGCTCAGGACTTACTCCTGCTGAACTCAGGAATTATTTCTAGCAGGGCTCAAGGGACAATATGGGATGCTGGGGATTGAACCCAGGTCCATGTGCAAGGCAAGCACCTTACCCACTTTACTATCTATCCAGCCCCATATTTAAATATTTTTTAATTATTTCTTTGTTTAGGATTGGCTAGATTTTTTTCCTAATTAAAATTTGAGCTATTTGGGGGCTCACACCCTGCATTGCTTAGGGGGACCTTCTGTTATACTGCTCAGGGGTCCTTCCTGTGTATGCTATGGAGACCATGTGGTACTGTGGTTTAAGCCTGTGCCTCCTTCATGCAAAGCTTTCAGAGAACCCTTTTAACTTTCTTCCTAGACCTTATTTAATTTTTGGTGGGAGAAATCATACTCAGCGGTGCTTAGGACTTAACTCCTGGTTCTGAACTCAGGGATCATTCCTGGCTTGAGTACCACATAGGGTGCCAGAGAGTAAACCTAGGTCGGCGACATGCAAAGCAAGCACCCTAGCCATTGTGTTATCACTCCAGCCTCAAAATTTTTTAAATTATTTTTGTGGAAGTAGGAGAGATAGTACAGGGGTTAAGGAGGTGTTTGCCTTGCATATGGCCAACCCTGGTTCAATCCCCTGCACTGCATTTGGTTCCCCAAGTACTTCCAGGAGTAAATAACTGCGGAGCACAGCACCCTGAGTGGCCTCTGCAAAAATTATGTTTGTGATGTTGCTCAAAGGCATATGATACTAGGAATCCACCTCAGGAACCACATCCCACCTCACACTATCCTAAAATTTTTAAACAATTTATTGTGACCAGGAAAATATTTCAAAGGGCTGAAGTTCATGCTTTGCATGCTGGAGCCCCAGGTTCAATTCCCAGTCCCAACCGGTTCTCCAAGCACTGCTGGGCATGACCCTGAGCACAGAGTCAGAAGTAACACCTGGACACGCCAGATGTTCCCCCTCCCCAAAAAAGCACCTTATTTTTACTCAGAATTAATGTGCAAACTCTGTGTTCTACTTCAAAAATGCATAATTGGGGGGCAGGGGCTGGAGCAATAGCACAACAGGTAGGGTCCTTGCCTGGCACACAGCCGATCTGGGTTCAATCCCCGGCATCCCTTATGGTTCCCCAAGCCCCGCAAGAGTGATTCCTGAGTGCAGAGCCAGGAATAACACCTGAGCCTGAGCACCACTGGTGTGGCCCAAAAAACCAGGAACACAAACCCAAAAAAGAACAACAATCCATAACCGGGGGTAGAAGATCCAGGAGATGAATTTTAGAATTATATACTATTTTTATTCATGCACAGCATGCACACTTCACTGCTTTTTAAATGTAAAAATGCTCTTTATTCATAAAGTTTTTGTTGGAGCTGAAGAGATAGTACAATGGGTAGGGCACTTGCCTTGCATATGGCTAACCCAGGTCCAATCCCTGGCACCCCATATAGTGCTCTGAGCCCACCAATAATGATCCCTGTGTGCAGAGCCAGGAGTAAACCCAGAACACTTCCAGGTGTGTTCAGAAAACAAAAATTTTTGACCTTCATTTCTTTTAGTTAGACTTTCCCCCCTCTTTCCAGCTACAACTATTGTACTTGGAGGCTATTCCTAAAAGTGCTCTGCTAGGAATCAAACCAATGGTTCCTGCAGACAAAGTCTCTTTTTAAGTTCAATTTTTGTCTGTTTATTTTACTCCCGCACCACCTTGTACTCTGAGGCTACCCTGGTTATGTGCTCAAGGGTCACTCCTGGAGGCACTTGGAAGACCACGTGATACCAGGGATTGAACTCAGGCTTCCCACATGCAAAACACTTAGTCCATTAAAGTAACTCTCCACACTTTTATTTTATTTTATTTTCAACTTTTTGGGTCACATCAGGCAATGCTCAGGGGTTGGGTTACTCCTGGCTATACACTCAGGAATCACTCCTAGAGCAGCCCAGAGGACCATATGGGATGCTGGGGATCTAACTCTGGTCAAGCTTGTGCAAAGCAGGCACCCTATTCACTGTACTATTGCTCCGACCCATCTCGACATCTTTAATTTTACTTTTTTTGATAGGAGAAGCCACCCTGTAGTGCTCAGGGCTTACTCCTGGCTCTGTGTTCAGGGATCATTCCTGGCAGGGCATGGGGAACCACATGGGGTGCTAGGGATCCAACTCAGTATGGCCACATGCAAGGCGAGCACCCTACCCACTGTATTATTTCTCCAGCCCCTAATTTAAACTCTTAGTTAAAATAAAAAATGTATTGGGCTGAGGAGATAGCTTAAATGGGTGAGGTGAATGTCTTGCATGTTCAAGGCCCTAGGTTCAATCTTTAGCACCATATGGCCCTCAAGCACTGTCAGAGAGTGACCCTCATGGCTCCCAACGTAGCGGGCCAACCATCTGTCAAACCCTAGGCTGCACTGCTCAGCTAAGTAGCATTGGAGTGACCTCCAGCCCCAATGTACTACTGGGGAGTTCCTCCTCCCCCCCCCAAAAAAAAAATAAAAATGTATCTGATATATGTGTCTGTGTGGTTTGGGGGCCACACCTAGTGGTGTTCAGGCTTACTCCTGGTTCTGTGCTCAGGGATCACTCCTTGTGGTCCTCGGGGGACCAAATGTAATGCCAGGGATTGAACCCAGGTCAGCCATATGCAAGGCAAGCACCTTTACCTGCTGTACTATCTCTCCAGCTCCTAGTTTTGTCTTAAAATAATTTTTAATTCTTGCTCAGTGAGCATGTGAAATCTGAGTTTTTCTTCTTTTTAAATAGCTTTTTAAAATGCATTAAATAACTAATGCATCTCACATAATTTCAAAACCGAACAGTATTCCAAATATTCACTGGAAGTTCTTATTGCTACCATCTCTCCCCTGCACTTTAAAGGTAACCACCTTTATTCATTCTTTAAAAATACCCTCCCTGGGGCTGAAGAGATAATACAAGGGTTAAAGTGTTTGCCTTGCAGGCAGACAACCCTGGTTCACTCCTCAGTACTGCATGATCCGCCTGAACACCATAAGAAGTAGCCCCTGAGCACTGCTGGGTGTGGGTCAAAACTCCTCCTCCCCAAAAAATCCTTCCAAAAGTTAAGCCTGACAAGCAAATATAAAAATGCATTTTAATTCCTTTACCCTGGGTTTTTTTTTTCTTTCAGTTTTTTGGCCACACCCGGTGATACTCAGGGGGTTACTCCTGGCTCTACATTCAGGAATCACTCCTGGCAGTGCTCAGGGGACCACATGGGATGCCGGGGATCGAACCTGGCAAGGCGTGCAAGGCAAGCGCCTTACCCTCTGTACTATCTCTCCGTCCCCTGACCTTGGGTATTTTTTTTCTTTTCTTGCCTTTGATGCAGCAGTGTTCATTGGTTCTTCCTGGCTCAGGGCTTGGGGGTCATTTCCTGTGGTGCTCAGGGAACCATGTGGTACCAAGGATCGAACCCAGGGCTCCTGCATGCAAAGCCTGCGCTGAACCTGTTATGTTGTCTCCCTGCCCCCCTTACCCTGGTTTTTACCTTAACACATGAACCAAATGCTTCTGCATGTTGCTTTTTTCCATAATAATTCTTGAAAATCTTCCCCATCATTCTCAGTGTCGTCATTCATTTTTTCCACCATGAGGATATGACACTATCATTTGTTCTTTATGGGATCTGTGGGCAGCTCAGTTATTTCCAGTACTTTGTTACTATATATGCTGCTGCCCCAAGTAATACCCTCCTGTAGGGTCACATGGGTTGTAGACAGAACTGTAGGATCTAGGCTGACAGTCACAATGCAGAAAATACCTTTTTGCCTTCCCACCAGCAATGCGCATTACCCCACCCAGAGAGTGCCTCTCAGACTTCTGGATATTATTTGCCATCATAATAGGAGTAAGACTATAAGTGAGGCTGACAATCTTTTCATACATTTAAGAGCTCTTCATTTTTCCCTTTACTGAGAATGGCCTATTCACTTCCTTGGCCATTTTTTGTTTTAAAAATATCTGTGTCTAGGAGCTCTTTAAGGGACAATACAGGTCAGAAAATCAGATGACCTTATCTTATTTTGTTAAGGATATTTCAAGAAGAAAACACCAAAAGGGGCAGCATAGGGGATTAATATTCACTTACAATACCAGAGTTCTTTGTGGCTCCACCTAGAACTATGAGTCATAGCAATACCTTCGAACAAAGGATGGATTTTCCCAAGACCTGCTTTGTTCTTGCTGAGCAGGACTGTCAACTCTTTCTCTCCCACAGGGCTACGGCATGGCATACACTGTCCACAAGTGGTCAGAGCTCAGCTGGGCCAGTCACTGGGTCACTTTTGGATGTTGGATCTTCTACCGTCTCATAGGCTGAGACACCTCTGTGCACCTTCAGAGCTCCCTCAAGACCCCTTCTCAGGGAGCCAACTCTGATGGGGGATGAGGGAAGGCCCTCTAACTCTTGATCCCTCAACATCCTTGATCTCCTGAACATCCCTCTACACACATGCACACACACGCACACACATTTCCATGCCTGTCAATCCCCACCCCCACCACAAGGCGGGAAGGGGGGTGGTCCCTGCTGGAGCATAGGAATAAGGATAGGGGATGCTTGGGGAAGCAGAGAGGGGGAGATCCAGGGCCTCCCCCCACCTTCCTTCTCCCTTTTTATATTCAGTTTGTTATTGTCAAATAAAAGTAGGAAATACACAAAAGGCTCTTTCTTCACTGCTCAGTGGCGAATAGAAATGAGTGAGGAAGGAGGCACAGCATGTATAAGGGTTTAGAAGCTGGAAACCATGAAGAGGGAGCAGGTTGAGACTTGTTCATGGTTCATTTATGATTGTTCATGATGAGATGGCAAATTCAAGGACACAGCATCGCTTGATTTGAGTGGGGACATGGCAGACTGGAAAGTTGGATGTGGAGAAGGTCTGGTATTAATTGGCCAGAAAAAGCAGGGATGCTTTCTAATAGATTACTCTGACCTGGGCAAAGTGAAGAGAAAGTGAAACAAATGGAAAGTTGGACAGAGGTTGTGGGTTCGAATTTTCCGGGGTCTGGGGTGGGTCCTGGCTCTGACTGACTGCTCTGTCTGGGTGCCCATTGGCTCAAGACTAAAGGATTCTGATTGTCTCTAGAGTTGGCACGGGTAGAGAGGTGAGGATTATTGCTGCTAAAATCAAGGTGCTCTGAAGGCTGAGGGAATGATAAAATGTGGGCTGTCTCGTTTTCTTGCCCATAACTCAGGATTGAGGGTTGATCCAGGAAATGATAGATGGCTCGCCTAGAAATCTAGGGCAAAGGTGAGGGGACACTCTCCGGTGTGCCGTTTCGACAGCATATGAGAGGCTGAATACCTTTACTGCTTTCCGGTATGATTGACAGATTAAAGACTCCTGACTCGGTCTCAGCCAACAGCGAAAATGGCACCACGCGTGGGGGCGGGGCCAGCAGCACATAGAGAGCTCCCATTGGTTGGAAGCGGCACCGGTCACACTCCCAGTCCCTCCATTGGTCCTATCTGTAAGACGTAGTCCCAGTAAAAGGATGGGACTTCACTAGGGATGTTAAGATACTGCAAGGCAACTTAGAGAAAGCTGGGAGCCCGTGGGAGAGGCTGCTGCGACGCGCTGGTGGGTGAGTGGTCTCCGCTCGGCCTGCCGCTTTTATCCCTTGATCTTAATAACTAGACTGCCTGCACTCAGCTCGAGACCCGTCTTCTCTCTGTCCCTCCCGCACCGCCTCCGCTACCCCGCACTCTTCTACGCGCCTGCGCAAGACACTCTCCGCGACTCCACACCCGGACCCCGCGGCTCCCGCGCGGTCAGTCGAGACCACAGCCGCACCTTCTTCCCATTGGGCAGTTGTATCAAAGGGTTCCAGTTTTCATTGGTGGTCTTTGAATTTGACCTTCCTTTTCCTCTTTCCGCGTTTTGGGCAAGGCTCCTTCCTTCCACTTTTTTCCTCTGACGGATGTTGGTGCCGTCATGTGGTTTCACCCAAAGGCTCTTAGCTCTCTGAACGCTGAATGTGAGGGCCAGAATTTGATCACCGTGTTCTCCTCTGGCTTGTGGTTTCCGGATTGGCAGGAGGGACTCTTTTCCCAGGTGATCGTCGCAACATACAGACCCTTGCAAGGAAGAGAACCAATCTGATCTCTTAAGTCTCCCAAAATTAACTTTGCCCCTTCCCCCTAGGGAGGGAAGGACTGGTTCAGAATCTTGAGTCTCCCTCCCCCCAGCTATCTGATTCCAGAAAGCCGGGATCTGGGCAGGTCCTTGAACCACCTCTCCCGCCAAACTGACCAATGAGGGTGGGGACCGTGTTTGATTTCCAGTTTCCCCCACCAGACTATGAGCAACGTGTGCAGGAACCAGGCCTAGTTCTTGTGTCTTTCCACCAAAGTGACCCTAAAGGCTGGTGTCTCAGGTTTGTTTCCTGTGTTTCATACATTACAGGGCTCAAGAAGGGCTGAAGCAAGCCTTCAGTCTTTCTGTGGTGTTTGACCTTATGATCATTTTCCTAAAACCGCATCTAATTCTATTCTTAGGTTTTTTTTCTGTTGTGGAGACCACACCTGGTGGTGGTACGGAACGGGGTGTGGGGACGACTATATAATGCTGGGCGTTGAGTTCAGGGTCTTGTATGTGCAAAATGTACTCAACAACTTGAATCACATGGTAGCCCTATAATCTGTTTAATCCAGTTTTCCAGTCAATTTACCAGAAAAGGATGCCCATTTATGTTTCTTGTGATAAAATACTTGATTTGACTTTTTTTTAACTCAATTTGACTTTGATTTCATGGTCTTATGCAGTACTTTTTCTTTGTCCAGGTTCTTCTGATCCATTTTTGTGCCTTTCTATTCTCCACGCAAGACTGAAAGTCCATAGAGACATGGCCACCAATGCCAGCCCCTCGCATCCATACTGGCCACGCCACCTGCAGCTGGATAACTTCGTGCCCAATGACCGCCCCACCTGGCATATCTTGGCTAGTCTCTTCTCTGCCTCGGGAGTCTTAGTTGTGACTACATGGCTGCTGTCAAGTCGTGCTGCAGTCATCCCACTGGGAACTTGGAGGCGAATGTCCCTATGCTGGTTTGCCGTGTGTGGCTTCATTCACATGGTCATTGAAGGCTGGTTCAGCCTCTACCACAGGGATCTTCTGGGGGACCAAGCCTTCTTGTCCCAACTCTGTAAGTCCTGTGCTCTTTGCTGAATGAAGGGAACTGTCTGGGCAGGGCTGTATTGACATGTTTATCCATTCAGTAATCTTTCCAGGGGTATGTTTAACTTACCCAACACACGAGTGACAAAACTAGCTATTTGAGGGGGCAGACAGATAGTACAAGGGTTAAGGCACATCATTCCTGGCAATGCTGGGGGACCATATGTGGTACTGGGGATCAAACATGGGTCAGCTGTGTGACCTACCCTCTGTACTGTTGTTCCGGCCCATCATTATTTTTATTTATCCCTTTTTCACAAATTGACAACAGGTTGTATACTCTTTTAAAAAATAGGCCACAACTGGGAATACTTAGAGGCTACTCCTGGCTCTGCACATCACTTCTGGTATTGCTCAGGGGACCACATGAGATGTCAGGGATGAACCTGGGTCTGCAGAGTACAAAGCAAACGTCCACCTGTCTTATTATTGCTCTGGTTTAGGAGCTATACATTTCGGTGGTTTGTTTTGTTTGTCTATTTTGTTTTGGGGCCACACCCAGCAGTGCTCAGAGCTTACTCCTGGCTCTGTATTCAGGGATTACTCCTGACAGGGCTCAGGAGACCATAAGTGTTGCTAGGGATAGAACCCATTTCAGCCACATAAAAGGCAATCATCCTACCCACCGTACTATCTATCTCTCTAGCCCTCTAGCTCTATACACTCTGAACTTTGTTTTTTCTTTTCCTTTATGGGCTAAAAATGGTAGTATGCAGAGCTACTTCCAGTGGTGCTTGAAGGACTGTGTTGTGCCAAGATTTGAACCCAGGGCTCCTACATACCAAGCATGTGCACTGCTTTTTGGGATTTTGGGCCACACCTGGCAGCACGCAGGGCTTACTTCTGGTTCTGAGCTCAGGTATCACTCCAGACAGGCTCAGAGGACCAAGTGGTGTGCCAGGGATTCAACCCGGGTTGACTGCATGTAAGGAAAGGATTCTACTCGCTGTACTATTGCTCTGACCAGTTGTTGTTTTTTTAAATGAGATGGCTCCTCATCATTTAATCAAAATCTTCAAAGCACAAATATTACAAAAGTACTTGACTTGTTTGGTACTGATCGGCATTCCCCCTCAATCTTTTGCTGTTATAAACTACTCCTTTGGAGTATCATGAATAAAACTGCTCCCTATGATTAGTTTTACATACGTCTACATGTGGACCTCTACTTTCACTTCTTTTTTGTTTTTGGGCCACACCCTATGATACTCAGGGATTACTCCTGGCCCTGTGTTCAGAAATCACTCCTGAAGGGCTTGGGGAACGATATGTGGTGCCAGGGATTGAACCTGAGTAAGCCAAATGCAAGGCAAGCATCCTACCTTCTGTGCTATCTCTACAACCCCTACTTTCATTTCTCTTCAGTAAACATGGAGGAGGAGTGGAGAGGCTGAGTCACGTGGTAGGCGTGAGTTTAAATTTATGAAAAGCAGGGGCTGGAGCGATAGCACAGCGGTAGGGCGTTTGCCTTGCACGTGACCGACCCGGGTTCGATTCCTAGCATCCCATATGGTCCCCTGAGCACCGCCAGGAGTAATTCCTGAGTGCAGAGCCAGGAGCAACCCCTGTGCATGGCTGGGTGTGACCCCAAAAAAGCAAAAAAAATTAAATAAATGAAAATAAATAAATTTATGAAAAGCAGCCAGCTGTTGTCAAAAGTGGCTGCACTGGTCTGGGAAGACTGTTCAAGGGCTAGGCTACATTATTTGCATATGGGAGGCCTAAATTCAGTCACTGATACCTCATGATTCCCTAAGCATTGCTGAAAGCAGTCCTATGTAGGACCAGGTGTGTCTATAAACCAAACAAAGACCACCAGAGATGACTCAAAGTCCATGCTTTTTATTTTCTTTTTCCTTTTTTTTGGAGGGGGGTTGGAGTTATACCCAGTGGTACTCAAGGCTTACTCCTGGCTCTGCTCAGGGAACATGTGGATTGCTGGGGATCAAACCTAGGTCTGCTATGTACAAGGCAAGTGCCCTACTAGCTGTACTATCTCTCCAGCCAAAACCACCTTGTCAGGCCCTGAGCACTACAGCGTATAACCTCTGAACCAAAAAAAAAAAATCAGAAAAATATGGCCGTGCCATTTTTCTAGTCCTACCCATAGCATGGGCTGGAGCGATAGCCCAGCGGGTAGGGCGTTTGCCTTGCATGCGGCTGACCCGGCAGACCCAAGTTCAATTCCTCCACCCGTCTTGGAGAGCCCGGCAAGCCAGCGAGAGTATCTCGCCCGCATGACAAAGCCTGTCAAGCTACCCATGATGTATTCGATATGCCAGACACAGTAACAAGTCTCACAATGGAGACGTTACTGGGCCCACCGACCAAATCGATGAACAATGCGAGGAGAGTGAAGTTCAGTGCTACCTATAGCATAGAGTGTCTTAGCCCCTTCACATCCTTGCCTCCACTTGGTATGATCTATTTATTTATTTGTTTTGATTGGGACCTCACTCAGCGGTGTGCAGGGCTTACTCCTCTCCTGGCGCCACACTTGGGGATCACTCCTGGCGGGCTTGGCAGACCCTGTGGGGTGCTGGGGATGAACTTGGGTCAGCTGTGTGCAGGGATGCCTCCTATGTGCTGTACTATCTCTTCAGTCCCCGTCTGGTGTTTCTTGTTGGGACTGGAGAGATAGTACTAAGGGCAAGACAATTGCATTTGATGCAGCCCACCTAGGTTCCATCCCTGGCACCCCAAAGGATACCCTTAGCCTTCCAATAGTGTCCTCAAGTGCAGAGCCAGTGACCGAAGCTATGGTACTGCAGGTGGGGCGTTTGCCTTGCATGCAGCCAACCTGGGTTCAATCCCCAGAATCCCAAAAGGTCCCCAGAGCACCACCAGGAGTGATTCCTGAGCAAAGAGCCAGGAATGAGCCCTGAGCATCACTGGGTGTGGCCCAAAAACTAAAACAAAATTTTTTTAGTGATTGTAAAAGGTGCGAGTGCTTTGTTGTTATGGTAATAGTTTTCCTTAATGACATATAAATTTGAACATCATCCATGTGTTCAGTGGCCATTTGTAAATCCTGGGGGGAATATATTCTAGTCTCCCTTTTAAAAATTTTTGGCCACACCTAGCAGTGCTCAGGGGCTATTCCTGACCCAGTGCTATGCCTGGCAGTGCTTAGGGAAATGTGAGGTTCCAGAAATCAAAACCAGAGCTTCCTACTTACTTGCAGGCCAAGTACTCTACTATTCAAACATATCCCAGCCCCTTTCCACCTACTTTTATATATTTTTTTATTCTATTTACTCATTCACTCATCTTTTTGGAGGAAGGGGATTTGGATCACACCCAGCAGTGCTCAGAAATTACTCTTTGCTCTGTGCTTAGGGGTACCTCCTGGCAGGGTTCTATATGGTATCAAAGATCAAGCCTAAATTAGCTGCATGCAAGGCAAGCACCTTTCTTGCCATGCTTTCTCTCCACCCTGTCACTCTTTTTTAAATTTTTAATTGAATATTCATGAGATAGACCATTAGAAAGCTGTTCATAATTAGGTTTCAGTCATACAATGATCCAGCATCCATCCCTCCACCAGTGCACATTTCCCATCACCAATGTCCCCTATTTCCCTCCCTCCATCCCCCAACACCCCACACCCCACCCCCAGCCTCCCTCTATGGGAGGCACTTTCCATCTTACTCTCTTCTTTTTCTTTTGTGCATTATGGTTTACAATACAGGTACTAAGAGGTCATCGTGTTTGTTCATGGCATTCAGTATTTGTATCGGGATGGTAAAGCTGGAGTAGCTCTTTAACTGTCCACCCTGTCACTCTTACCTTGCACACTCCAACCTGAATTTGATCCCTGGCACCTCACAGGGTCCCCCAAGCCTGCCAGGAGTGATCTTCCTCTCATTCACTTGTTGGTTAGTCATTCACTCTATCAGCTACATATTGCCCTTTGCTTAGTGCACAAACCTTGATCAACTACCAGGCTGTCACAGCAATACGTGCTTCTGTTTCCAGTTGGCATGTGCTTGCTTGTAAACAGGCTCAAAAGTCTAGAATTCAACAAGCCACCCCATTTCGCAGACAAGGAAATTAGGTGCAGAGGGGTAATGACATAACTGTGTTACATGGGCTCTGGCCTCATCCAAGGAGTTCCTCTTCATGGATGTGTCTTATCTTCTTTAGGGAAAGAATATTCCATGGGAGACAGCCGCTACCTTCTGTAAGTCTTTGTCTCTTGTCAATGGAGACCTGTTTTGTTTGTTTTCGTGGGGAGGTTGAGCAGAGCACAGTGACACCAATGACTCCCACTTCTGTCTTTTCTCTCACAGCAATGACAACTTTGTGATCAGCATGGAGACCATCACGGCTTGTCTCTGGGGACCGCTCAGTCTCTGGGTGGTGATTGCCTTTCTCCGCCAACAGTCCTTCCGTTTTGTCCTACAGCTTGTAGTCTCAATGGGTGAGAAAAGGGGTCCACGGTGGACTTTGGAGGGACTAATGGTGGATCCACTGACCAGGGTGGGGGGTGTCCCTGCTGATGGAATGTTGCATTGGTGTCCATTCGGGGCTGAGGTCAACTACTTTTTGGTTGTTTGGTTGTTTGGTTGGTTGGTTTGGGGGCCACACCCAGTGGGGCTCAGATTACCGTATGAGGTGCCAGAGATAGAACCCAGGTCAACCACGTGCAAGTCGAACACCCTACCTACAGTCATATATCCCCGAGGCTGAGGCAGACTGAATAACATACTTCTGGAATGGCCAGGCTCGTTTGTGGGCTGCTCAAGTGGGCATGCCTGTTTCTCCTCTGCTTCCATCCCAAGCCACCTCACTTATGTAAGGGTGGCCCAGGATGGTGAGAAACCTCTATGATCCTCCCAGCTTGGAATTCTGAGTTCCCATCTTCCTCTGGGATTCTATCCTTTTGTGCTCTGCACCTTTTTGTTGTCTTTAGTTATAGAAACACAAGTTCTCGAGTCCTGGAACCCACAGCTGTCTTGAATTCTCTGATTTTCGAGTTTCCTTAAGTTCTGGAGAGAGACACTTAACTGAGTTCAGAAGCTCTCAACTGCAGTTTCTGTAATTCTCCCTTTAAGACTTCTCTGATTTTTTTTGGTGGGAATCGCAAGGCGGGTTGGGGGTCACATCTGGCAGTGCTCAGGGCTTACTTCTGGCTACTTTTACTCCTGCTTCTACACTCAGGTAGGTTTAGGGAACCATATGGGGTGCCAGGAATCAAACCTGAGTCAGCCCTACCCACTGTACAATTGCTCCAGCCTCTAGACTTCCCTGATATTTAGCTTACAGCATTTCATATTTTATTTGTTTGGTTTTTTTAGATCACACCTGAAAGAGCTCAGGGGCTTGTTCCAACTCACTGCTTGGGGTTGCTGCTTGAGTGCTGGGAATTCAGCCTGGCCTCCTATATGCAAAGCACATACTCCATCTAATTGAGATATTTCTCTGGCTCAATTATATTTTTTGTTGTTGTTCCTTTGGGCTGGAGCTATAGCACAGAGGGTAGGGTGTTTGCCTTGCATGCGGATGACCCGGATTCGATTCCTCCGCTCCTCTTGGAGAGCCCGGCAAGCTACCGAGAGTATCTCGCCCGCACGCCAAAGCCTGGCAAGCTACCTGTGGTGTATTCGATATGCCAAAAACAGTAATAACAAGTCTCATAATTTTTGTGAGACATTACTGGTGCCTGCTCGAGCAAATTGATGAACAACGGGAGGACAGTGCAGTGCAGTGCAGTTGTTGTTCCTTTGGGGGCTGTACCCAGCAGTGTTCAGGGCTTTTTCCTGGCTCTGTGTTTAGAACTAACCCATGCTGGTATTTGAGGAACCATATCTGGTGTCAGAGATTCAAAATAGGGTCAAAAACAGAACAAAACAAAAGGGGCTACAGAGATTTACAGCAGGTAGGCCACTTGCCTTGCATGTGATTGGCCTGGTTCAATCACTAGCACCCCATATGGTCCTGAGTTCCACCACGAGTAATTATTGATCTTAGAGTCAGAAGGAAACCCTGAGCTCTGTCATGTATCTCTCTCCCTCCCTCTCTCTCTCACACACACACAATCAAATTAGGGTTAGCTGGTGGTATAAGGCAAGCACCTTAACCCCTGTATTCTGTTTGGCCCCTAATTTAGAGTACTTGGGGTTATTGAGCCCTGATTCCTTCAATGATGCCTTGTAATAGCTCCTTGTCTTTATAGAGTATCTTCTTTCCTCTCCTTCTGTGCACAGGTCAGATCTACGGTGATGTGCTCTATTTCATGACCGAGTACATTGATGGATTCCAGCATGGGGAGGTGGGTCACCCACTCTACTTCTGGTTTTATTTTGTCTTCCTGAATGCCCTGTGGCTGGTGGTGCCAGGGATCCTTGTGCTTGATTCAGTGAGGCAACTCGCCCATGCCCAAAGTATGCTGGATACCAAGACAACAAAAAACAAGAGGAAGCAGAACTAATGAACAGTGAACTGGACTCACACGGTGAACTGACAGAGAACCCTCTAATGGCCCGGAGAGAGCAGTCCTGTTTCTACAGGTTGGAGGGACAAAGCAAATGGATTTCTCAAACTCAGGCTGATGGGAAGAGATGAAAAAGGACCAAAGATAAGGGTGGGGGGTAGAGAAAAAAAGGAGCTGTTTAGGGCTCCTGCCAGAAGCCATTGGGACAAAGGTCCAAGAGAACCTAGGAGGTCCATGACAGTGGCATATTTTAAAATCAGGAAATAAAAGACCTTGACCCTAACACTGAGAGATCTTTCATTACTAATGCCAAAAACATCCCATGACTGACCCCACAGACACCTCCATCATTCATTTATTCCATAAACCACCATTCTACCAGCCATAGAACTCCATGATAATCAGAGACTTCTAATCTATGACCTCCCTGACCCCATCAGAGACCCCATTGAGTCCTGTCACTCACTGACCCCGCCCCACTCCAATCTCCTTGTCTTAGCTTGGGCTGCCATGTTAAAAATACCACAGAGGGGCCAGAGAGATAGTACAGTAGATAAGGCACTTGCTTGCATGTGGTCAACCCTGGTTGAATCCATGGTCCCCCAAGCCTTGCCAGGAGTGATCCTTGAGCACAGAGCCAGGAGTAAGCCTGAGAACTGCTGGGTGTGGTCCAAAAAAAAACAAATTAAAAAAACGTCACAGACCAGGCTGGAGATTGCTCAGTGGACTGGAAAGCAGGCTTTGCATGCAGGAGACCCAGGTCTGAATACCAGCACTTCATGGTACCCTGAGCACTGCTGTGAGTGACCCCAAAGCATGGAACTTAGGGTAGTAGCCCCTAAGCACTGCTAAGTGTGACTCAAAAACAAACACATTCCATAGTTGGACTAACTTTTTTTTCTTTCTTGGAGGCCACACACACAGTGATTCCTGAGGGCTACTCCCAGCTCTGCGCTCAGGAGACCATGCATTGCTGATGACTGAACTGGCGTCAGCTATATGCAAGGCAAGCAACTTAGCCCTGTACTCTCTCCAGCTTTAGACTGGCTAATTTAAATGACGGGAATAACTTTTCTCATAGTTCTGGGAGCTGGGAATCTACCATTTAAGTGTCAGCCCAGTTTCTTTCTCCTGGGGCCTCTCTCCTTAGTTCCCAGGTGACCACTTTCTTATTGTGGCCTCAAATGGCCTTTCTCTGCTGGTACCAATCCCTGCTGTCACTTATTTGTTGGTTTGTGCGGGTGGGTTGGTTTTGTGGTTCCAGAGATGAAACTCAGGGCCATATGCAAGATTATATCACTGAGCCATAATCCAGCCCTGTTTCCTCTTTTATTTTCCTTTGGGTGTGGAGCCAAACCCAGTGACACTCACAGCTTCCTCCTGGCTCTGTGCTCAGGGATCATTCCTGGCAGTGTTCAGGGGACCATATGGTGTGCTAGGAATTGAACTGAGATCAACCGCATGCAAAGCAAGTACCCTGTCTACTGTACTATCATTCTAGGGCCTTCTTTCCTCTTATTATCTCATTTGACCTTACTTAACTCCTTAAAAGTTGGGGCTGGAGCAATAGCACAGTGGGTAGGGCATTTGCCTTGCACGCAGGTTTAATTCCCAGCATCCCATATGGTCCCCTGAGCACTACCAGGGGTAATTCCTGATTGCAGAGCCAGGAGTAACCCCTTTGCATCGCCAATGTGACCCAAAAAGCAAAAAAAAAAAAAACTTACAAGTCCTACGTCCAAGTCCAGTTACATTAGGGATGAAGGCTTCAACATATGAATAGAGGAAGGGGTGAGACACAGCTGAGTTCGTGCACTTCTCAGGACTCACTCCAAAGACCTCATCATTTCTCACAAATACTACACCCTGGCCCCTCACAGATGCCCCATTATTCAGCCTCTTGTCTCCTGATTAGACACCCAAACACCAGCTTCACAGGCCTGCATCACTCACTTCAAAGACTCTCACTACTGACCCCACATATCCATCATGACCTGAAAGATCCCTATTACTCTAAAGACCACAAAACTCACCACACAGGGTCTGAGAGATAGTTTGGTGGACTGAGCACATGCTTTGCATGCAGGAGAAGGCTCAAGTTCAATCCCTCACACTGCATGGTCCTCCCAGCAATGCTGGAAGTGACCCCCAGGGCTAGCCCTGAGCACTGTTTGTGTGGCCCCCACAAAAATAAACACCCCGGGGCTGGAGCGATAGCACAGCGGGTAGGGCGTTTGCCTTGCACGCAGCCAACATGGCCGACACCAGTTCGATTCCCAGCATCCCATATGGTCTCCCGAGCACCGCCAGGAGCAATTCCTGAGTGCATGAGCCAGGAGAAACCCCTGAGCATCTCTGGGTGTGACCCAAAAAGAAAAAATAAATAAATAAACACCCCACATAACCCGTCATTAACTCCAAGACACTGTCATCATTGAGTTCAAAGCAATAATTCAGCCAATGGGACATTTGTATTGCACATGGCTGACTCGGGTTTGATCCCTGGCATCGCATATTGTCCCCCAGGCAGCACCAGGAGTAATTCCTAACTGCAAAACTAGGAGTAAACCCTAAGCATCACCAGGTGTGGTCCCCAAACAACAACAAAAAAAACCCATTCTGCCCACAAATAGCCTTTGATATGGACTTCAGATGGCCCACCTTACATAACACCTTAAAAGGAGTTCATCTCCATCATTCCTACCCCAGACTCTTCTCTCATGAAGACCTCAATAGCCTACAATCCCATGAATTTACCATAGGGTGCTATAATTATCACACAGAACTTCTCACTCCCCAAAGTTCCTAATCATTTACCCCATAGACTTCTCGCCACACAGATCCCCACCCCCGCCATTAGTCACCGTTTTATAACTTCCCAATTTCCTTGTAGATGCTATCACAAACCCTTATCATGAGCCCCACAGACTCCCAACTACCCAGTGATCTTCCATCATCCCTCACACCACACTCTATCATTCACCCTTCAGACCCCATGAGGTTAATGGCAGAACCAGCAGTCTGCCATTAACCTCAGTGACCTGCAGTCATAAAACAGCACTGAAGAAACTGGGAGGAGAGCTGAAAAGATAGCACACATGGTAAGCCACTTACCTTGCATGTGGCCAACCTGGGTTTGATCCCTACACTACATATGATTCCCTAAGCTCCAAAAGGAGCGATCTCTGAGCACTAGCAAGTATAACCCAAAACCAAAAGTAAAAGTTTTCTTTTTAAAAAGGGCTGGAGAGATAGTACCAATGGTAATACACTTGCCTTGCACAGAGCTGACCCAGCACTACACAGGGTCCCCTGAACACTGCCAGGAGTGACTTCTGAGTATAGAAACAGGAGTAAGCCCTGAGCACCGCTGAATGCCTCCCCTTCCCTAAAAAGGAATGAATGACCAAGAATGAATAATAAAATTGCACATAGCTGACAGGTTCCATGTAAACTGTAGAACTTCAGTGGGACTCCTGGTTCTGCTGGAGACTACACTAAAGCTTCTGGAAAATGTTTGTCAAGGCCAAGGTCAGTTGTGCATTGCTTCTCACCTCTTTTGCATCATTTTTTTTCGGCTTTTTGGCACACCCAGCGATGCACAGGGGTTACTCCTGACTCATGCATTCAGGAATTACTCCTGGCAGTGCTCGGGGATCATATGGGATGCTGGGAATCGAACCCGGGTCAGCCGCATGTAAGGCAAAAACCCTCCCGCTCCAGCCCCTCTTTTGCATCACTTACCTCATCATTTACTTAAGGTTTTCTGGCCTGCTTGCTCTTTTTCAAAAAATGCCAGGCACAGCTTCACCTTTCATGTGTTATGCCTCCTATTCTCTCTGTGCCACTTGCTTAGACCTTAAACATGGATTAGGGTTGGCCACACTCAGTGATGCTCAGGGATCACTCCTGGAAGTGCTTGGGGGGCCATATATAGTGCCAGGGAATATAATTTGGGCTTGTCGCATGCAGAGCAAATGCCTAACTTCTGTACTATTTCTTTTGTTTGTTTTTGGGGCACACCCAGAGATGGTCATGGAGTACTTCTGGCTCTGCACTCAGAAATTATTCCTCATGGTACTCAGGGGACCATATGGGATGCCAGGGATTGAATGAGTGTGAGCGACGTGCAAGACAAGCTCCCTGTACTATTTTTCCAGCCCCTCTGTATAACATCTTTGCCCTGCTTTAATATTTCTCCTTGGCCTTCAGTGCTCTCATTTGTAAAATGCTAATAATAAGAGTACCTACCTCATGGCATTTTAATGCAGATTAAATAAATTAATATATACAAACTGACATATACTTTGTATTTGTTGAATGATAGAATAAATACATGAAAGAAAATGTCCCCCGCTGGAACTGTGGCAAGGACTACTCCTTTTTGTTTAGAGTTTTGGGTCACACCCACCAGTGCTCAGGGGCTACTCCTGGTGGTATTTGGTGAGCCATATACATTACAGGGATCAAACCTGTGCCTCCTGCATGCAAAGAATGTGCTTCAGCCCTTTGAGAGATCTCTCCAGCCCAAGTACCCCCCCCCCTTTTGATCTCCTTCTAGTATCTTTCTATCCCAGGTTATCTAAGCAACCCAAACACAAGTACTTGACAACATACTTTCTCCCACAGGAAACCTGTGTCCTTGTTGGTGGAGATGGCTCAAGGGCTGGAACACATACTATGCATGTGTGAGGCCCAAGTTTGATAGCCTGGACTACATAGTGGGTATGGCCCTGCTTTCACAGTAAACTCTTAGCTGCAGGTAAATGTTCTGTTCACCCCACTCTATAATGGGTTTTTGTTTTGTTTCTGGGCCACATCCAGCTATGTCCAGTGCTTACTCCTGGTTCTGAGCTCAGAGATCACTCCTAGCTCCTGGCAGTGCTTGAGGGTCCACAAGGAGTGGCCAGGATCAAACCTGGGTTGGCTGTGTTCAAGGCAAGCACCCTGCCCACTATTCTATGTATCTGCCTGCTCCTGTACCACGATAGTTTTAACAGGCCATAGACTCTCCTTGTTTCCATCAGAAAAATCCAGCAGTTCTGGCCCTGTGATCAGGTGTCACTCCTGGTGGTGCTCAGAGAATCATGTGCAGCGCTGGGGATCAAACCGAGCTCAGCCACAATACAAAGCAAGCACCTTAATCTTTGTACTCTCTTTCTGGCCCCTGAAACTTACTTTAAAAGACATCAAAATAGAGGGCGGTGGAGAACAGATGACTGGTTAAAGAAACTTTGGTACATTTACACAATGGAGTACTATGTAGCGGTTAGAAAAAATGAAGTCATGAAATTTACCTACAAGTGGTACTTCACATTAAGCGAAATGAGTCAGAAAGAGAGGGATAGACATAGAAAGATTGCATTCATCTGGGGAACATAAAGTAACAAAATAGGAGACTAACACCCAAGAATGGCCGAGATTAGTACCAGGAATTTTGCTCCATGGCTTGGAGGCCAGCCACACATGCTAGGGGAAAAGGGAGCTCAGATAGAGAAGGGAACACCAAATAAAGGGTGTTGGGAGGATCCTCCCAGGATGGGAGAAGCATGCTGAAAGTAGACTATAGACCAAACATGATTGCCACTCAATGCCTCTTTTGCAAACCACAACACCCAAAAGGAGAGAGAGAACAAAAGGGAATGCCCTGCCACAGAGGCAGGGTGGGATGGGGGGATGGGGGGTGGGAGGGATACTGGGATCCGTAGTGGTGGGAAATGGGCACTGGTGGAGGGATGGGTACTTGGTCATTGTATAACTAAAACCCAAGCACAAAAATTTGTAAGTCTACAACTGTACCTCATGGTGTCTCACTAATAAAAATTTTTAAAAAGTAGAGGGCCGGGGAGATATCACAGAGGGTAGGGTGCTTGCCTTGCACACAGCTGACCTGAGTTCGATCCCTGGCATCCCATTATGGTCTTCAGATCACAGTCATGTATAACTCCCAAATGAAGGGCCAGGAGTAAGCCTGAGCACTGCCAAGTGTGGCCCCCAGAAAAGATATATAAAAAAAAAGAATTCATACTTGCTTGTGACACTATGGGCAGTACCCATTCAAGATCACAATAGCTGAAATACAGGTACCTTACAAGACTCCTTTATTAGAAATTACATTTGTAAGGGTAAAAGGTAAAAGGTAAAGGCCCTCCCGTCGATCGTCGATTTGCTCGAGCGGGCCCAGTAACGTCTCCATTGGAGACTTTGTTGTTACTGTGTCTGGCATATCGAATACTCTCGGTAGCTTGCCGGGCTCTCCGAGAGGGGCGGAGGAATCGAACTCGGGTCGGCCATGTTGGCCGCTTGTAAGGCGAACGCCCTACCCGCTGTGCTATCGCTCCAGCCCTTGTAAGGGTAGTCTGTATTTTTTTAAATTTTATTTTCATAAGTTTGTTCACATTAATTGATTACATTCAATCTTTCAACACCTATCCCACCACCATTACACCTTCCCATCACCATTATTTTAAATTTTCCCACCACCATTCAAGCCTGCCTGTCAGGAACAGATGCTAGATGATTTATTTACTATTGCTTATGATGTATATCATGAGAGGTTGCGTGGTCGCAAAAGCAGCTGCGAGCTTCTGGATTCTAAAATTGTAAATGGTTGGGGTCCAGAGACATCTCTGTAGCGAGGTAATCCATGTGGAGATTCATTTGGGAGTCTCTGGATCAAGGCCATCGATGCGCTGAGATGGCACCTAGAAGCAGATCATGGGTGTGACAGCTAGGACCTCAAGCAGGCAAGGAGATAGAAAGGGTCAGCCCATCTCTGCTGCCGCCATGTGGCCTCGAGTCTTAGTCCTTGAACCCCCTTAACTGGGTTTTTCTTCTGGAAGCTTGTGGCCATCAGGGTTTCATCGGGGGCAGTCAGTATTTTGTCTAAACCATATACATGCTGTGCCATGAAGTGAGAAAGCCCTTTTTATTTTGCATAAATAAAGTTCCTCAAAAGATTGGACCAGAGATTTAGCATAGGGATTAATATGCATGCCTTTCATGCAGCTTACCCAGGTTGGATTCCTAGTACTACATGGTCTCTCAAACATTGCCATGTACACTACTGGAGGCCCCTGAGCACTACCAGAGTGGCCCCAAGAAAGTACCACCACAGGGCCTGAACAGCACAGGAGAATGGAACAGAAGTTCCTCAGAGGAGTCTGACATAATTTCAGTCATTCTGCTGATATTTAGGAGACACATACCATTTAGTAACAGGACCCACCCCAAGTGTTGTATTAAATAAGATTAAGACAAACTAAAAAGCTGGACCATCATGGAGCGTAAGAAAGAAGTAATATTATTATTATTATTAGCCTTAGGGTCACATCCAGTCATGCCAACAACTCCTGGATTGGTATCCAGGGTCACTCCCAGGACTTTTGGGGGACCATGCTTCACCGGATATCTTTTTTTTTTTTTTGCTTTTGGGTGACACCTAGCGATGCTCAGGGGTTACTCAGGAATTACTCCTCTATGTTTCACCGGATCTTTTTTTTTTTTTTCGCCCTACCCGCTATCGCTCCAGCCCCGCTTCACCGGAGGTCTAACCAAGATATAACCCCATCTTCAGCCTTTTAAGCTATCTCTCCGGTCATCATTTGTAAAGTATTTAATGAAATACAACATACAGAAACTACAAACATCATACATGTTTCTCCATTAATTCTCACGCTGTAACTTTTTGAAGCGATTCTGGAAATTTTTTTTTTCATTTGAACCGAGGGCCACAGGCATTTGAAAGAGATGACATCATCTGTCAGCAGAGGCACGTGGCGACTCGTGCAGGATGTGGGGTCCAGTTCTGTCACAGCCACTTCCTTTTCCCCGCCCTCTTCTCTGGTCCTTGAACACATACCTAGGTGAGTGCGGAAATAGGCAGCCAAAACAGCCTAGCCACGAGCGAGGGCAGGCGGGGCTTCAGCTCGCAGCAGCGCACTAGCTGCCGTGAGGCCATTTGCCCGACTTTCAGCGCCCGACAACACATTAGGCGCATGCGCAAAGACGACCTCCAGCGAGAGCCAGGTGGGAGGGGTCGTGAGGGGGCAGGGTCGATCGGAGCTTTCTGCGCCTGCGCCGACGCGCTAGGTGGGGCTGCCGGCGCCGGCACTCTGGAGTGTTGGTAGGGTTCGGGGGTGACTATCAACCGTCACCCTAAGGCGGGTGGCGGTGCAATGGCGACGCTCCCCAGTTATTCGGACTTGACTGTCTCTGGAGCGCCCCCGCCTGGTGGGGGAGCCCAGGCGACGGCGGCGGTGGAGGAGGAGGAGCGAGAGGTGGTACGGGTCCGAGTCAAGGTGAGGCTGACAGCTCGTGCGGGGCTCCCTAAGGAGGACCCGCGGTGGCTGTGCTCACATTGGGGGGGGGCTGAAATTTGGAGTGTTGCCTAAGGGGTGAAGGCTGGAGGGCTGAGTGATGGATGGAAAAGAGAAGGGTAAACCTGGGAAGGAGGCGGTGGAAAGAGGGAACAGGGCCTCGGACCTGGGGTGGTGGTGGGGAGGACTGGGAATGGAGGGAAGGGGCCAAGAGATGGATGGGAGGAGATTCTGGCTGGAGGAGAGGGGTCCTAGAGAGAGAGAGAGAGAGAGAGAGAGAGAGAGAGAGAGAGAGAGAGTGTGTGTGTGTGTGTGTGTGTGAGGGGTGGCTGTTGCTGTCTGCAAAGGTGTCAGGGGTGCCAGCCTATGTGTTGTGTCCAGTTCCCACCCTGAGTGTGCTCTGTGCTCCTTGGGGAGGCAAACAGCTCAATCCAAGTGACGTTTTGGACACTGATGAATGTCAAGGGGTAGTGCCATAAAGCGAGCTATCTAGGAAGTTATTTTAGCCACAGTTTTGCCAAAAAGCTAGAGCTATGGCTGTAGCAGAGACCCGAAGGAAAGGGAGTCTTTGGTGGGATACAGGCAGTCCGACTGTACAGCAAAGCCTATGCGTCAACACTAGTGTTGGCCTGGGACCCAAAATAAGAACATTTTCCAAAATGAGGTTGCTAAGGAGGTGGGGGTGAGGTGGGAGGGAACCTGGAGTTATTGGTGGACGGAATGTTGACACATATGGAGGGGGTTCAGAATTGAATGCCAGAAATTCTTAACAGCATTGTCAACCAAGGTGCCTAAATTTAAAAAAAAAGTTTAAAAAAAAAAAAGGAGTTCATTATGTGCACTTAAGTATTCTACTGAGAGGAAACAGCAGTGCTAAAGCCTGGGAGGTGGGGATGAACTTAATATATTCCCTCAGGTTCCTGTATATTGTAGGAGCTGAAACAATGAGGGGAACATTGGTAAGAGGTGAATCCTAGAGGTAAGTGGGGTGGGGAGGGGGTAAAGGACCTTTCATGTGTACACTCTGAATAGGAAAGCCATTTCAATAGTTGCAAGACAACAACAATGATGACTTGGACTTAGGTTGCAATCAGGTCACTTCAGTGGCATAGTGGAAGCTCTAAGGGACAGATTTTGAAGTTCAGAAAAGATGAGGCCTGCCAATGAGTGAGAAAATTTGTTGGAGAACGTGGGGAGGATGTCCCAGACAGGCTTGGCCCAAGTAAATGCCCAGAACTGCCATGTGTTCCAAGGAACTTCCTTTTTGGGGGGGAGAGGGGTGTTGGTTTAGGCCACAACTGTCAATGACCAAGACTCACTCCTTGCTCTGTGCTGAAGGATTATTCTTGGAGGGGTGCACTATATAGGGTACCAGGGATTGAACCCGGGTTGGCCCTACACACTGTATTATTGCTCTGGTCCTGAGGAATTTATAGCAGTCCCAGAGTATGCAGTTTAAAAAGGGCTGAGTGGCATTTTCCTTGCATGAGGCTGACCCAGGTTTGATCCTCGGCACACCATAGGCTCCCCTGAGCACTTCCAGGAGTAATTCCAGAGAGCAGAGCCAGAAGTAACCCCTGAGCATTGCCTGGTGTGACCCAAAAAGCAAAAAGCACTGAGTGGAGAGAGGCTGGCTATGATTTTTTAAGCCTACCTGCTGGGGACCCTGGGGTTATTTTTTTTTCTTGATTTGGGGCCACACTTAATGGTATGCAGGGCTTCCTTCTGGCTCTGTGCTCAGGGATCAATCCTGGTAGTGCTCAGGAGACCATATGGAGTGCCAGGGACAGAATCTGGGTCGTCTGTGTACAAGGAAAGCACCCTACACCTAGCCTTTGAAGAAATTTAAGCAGATGATTTTGGAGTTGAAACAGTGAATGTCTTAAACTCTGTGATCAACAGCTTTGTCAATCACAGTGTGCACAGTTTAAAAATTCAAAGAATTGAGGCCAGCATGATAGAACAGTGGGTAGGCATTTGCCTTGTACGCACAGCCAACCTAGTTTCAATTGCCAGCATCTCATATGGTCCCCCAAGAACCACCAGGAGAGACCCCTGAGTACAGAACCAGGACTGAACCCTGAGCACAGCCAGGTATGTCCCAAAAACAAAATCATTAATCAAATAATTTTAAAAAGAGAGACTTATAGCCACTAAGAGATACAGATAGATATGCTGCACTGGGACACGGGTTTAATAGGGGCCAGACTGGACATGACGATTCTGAAAACCAGAGCTGAGGAGACACAGACAGCACAGGTGACTGGACTACTATAGTAGCATTCTCTTCACTGCTTTGTTCCTTCCTCGCCCCCACACACATTCTATTCATTGCAGAGTACCATGAGGATCCCGCTAAATCAGACCACGTCCTGCTTCTGCTCAGAGCCTCAGTGGCTGTCCCCCACCCCCAAACTGGCCCCAAATGCCCTTCTCCCTCTGGCCCCTGACACTCTCGCCTTGCTCCTACAACTCACTTGGCTTCACTCTGGTAATGGGCACCCCTGTGGCCTGCCCCATGTGTTCTCTTGCCAGAAATGTGAGAGCTTCTTGCAACCCGAGTTTCGCTCTTTTGCTGTGGACCCCCAGATCACCTCACTGGATGTATTACAGCATATCCTCATTCGAGCCTTTGACTTGAATGGGTGAGTGATGGGATACTGGACACTGGTCAGTTCGGCTACTCACCTAACAGTGGTTGCACAGCTTTTGTAGTGGCATGTGGTAGGGTTGGTTGGTTTGCTTTGGGGAGGGGGTTGTTTGTTTTTGGCCCATGCCTAGTGGTACTCAGGACTTACTTCAGGCTTTGTGCTCAGGAGTCACTCCTGGCAGTGCTTGGGGGACCATAGGTGGTGGCAGGGATCCAACTAGAATTGGTTGCATGCCAGTCAAGTGCCTTACCCCTGTACTATCTCTTTGGCTTCTGCTTAATTATTAGAAATAATCCACTGGGAAACAACCACATATATGTATCTTCGACTATTTAGGGAAGTATGTTGGGATTAGGTCCTAGCAATGCTATTACTGTGCTAAACAGTATATATGCTTTCATTGCAATGGCTATTTCCAAAATGTTCTCCAGACAGGTTTCACATATTTATTAATTTTTGGTTTTGGGGCCACACCTGGCTATACTGAGGGGTTGCTCCTGGCTCTGCACTCAGGAATTACTCCTGGAGGTGTTTGGGGGACCGAGAATCGAGCCCAAATTGGCCACATGCAAGGCAAACGTCCTACCCACTGTACTATCTCTTTGGCCCCAGGTTTTACCTTACAGTCTCCCCAGAAGCAGCTAAAGTGACTTTCCCTCACCTCCTCACAAACACTGATTTCTAGAAAACACTGAAAAATTGACCAAGGGGCTGTAGAAAGAGTATAATGGGTATGGTGCTTACCTTGCATGCAGCTGACCCAGTTTGAACTCTGTCACCACATGTGGTCACTGAGCACTACCAGTGGTCTCTCCTGAGCACAGAGCCAGAACTAACCCCTCACCACCTCTGAATGTGACCCCCAAATTTGCCACCTGGTAGATGAAAGGTGGAATCTCTTGTTGCAGCTGTGATAAGGATTTTGTTGAGGTTGTTTTATGTACACAGTAACAGTTCCCAGTTCAGAAGTGGTTTAGGTATTTAGAATTTTCTCATGCTTACAAGGGTTATTATATAAAGGGTTTTTTTTATATAGTTGCAGAAGAAGTGTATGTGAAGAACAAGTTTTTTTATTTTGTTTTTGTTTCAGGAATCGCTCCTGGCAGTGTTTGGGTGGGGGAGGACCAAATGTAGTGCCGGGGATCAAACCCAGGTCAGCCAGGTGCAAGGCAAATGGCATACCTGCTTTGCTATTTCGCCAATCCTGAAGAACAAGTTCTTATTGTTACTTGAATTTTTGGTGGGGAGTGGGCTGAGGGGAGAGTACGAGCATTGTTCATTGTGAAAATGAATGAATATCTACGTTCACTTTTTTCTCTTTTTTTTCTGGTGTCAGGGATCAAACCCAGGTTGTCCTACCTGCAAGGCAAGTGCTCTCCCTCTGAACTACATTCCTGGCCCACTTGATTTTCTAATGTAGGAATAAGGTTGCTTTAGAGGCTGGGATGGCAGCTCAAAGGACTGAAGCACATGCTTTGCATGGAGGAGGCCTGGAAAAAATCCCCAAGCACCACACAGCACCCCAAGCACTGAATCAGGGGTAGTTACAGAACACAGCTGGTTATGGCCCATATATCGTCCCACTTCTTTCCTTCAACTACCGTATTACCCAGCCCAATGAGGCCAACATTTTATCAGTTTCCAGTGTACCTCCCACATACATGCTAGTGTTTGATCATCTGTGTAACCACTCAGCTAACCTCAGGATGTTGGAATCTTTGATCCAGTGCCCCAAACATAGTAGGAAGTGACCCTCAGCACCTTATCTTTCCTAGCTTTATTTTGTTCTTTTGTTTCTGGGCCACTCCCCATGCTGCTTAGGGCTTACTCCTGGCTCTGTGTTCAGCCCTCACTCCTGGCGGGGCTCAGGGGCCCTAGAGAGTGCTGGGGATCGAACATGGGTCAAGGAAAACACCCTACCTGCTGTATATCTTTCCAACCCCTTCTGGCCCTTTTGCAAACCACCCCTGCGTTGCCAGGGCTCGGGGCCACTGAGCTGACCTGCTTCCTCTGTCCAGAAAGAAGAACTTCAGCATCAGCTACCTGGGCCGGGATCGGCTAGGTCAAGAAGCTTACCTCTCACTTCTGTCTGACTGGGACCTCAGCATGGCCTTTGCCACTGCCTCCAAACCTTACCTGCAGCTGCGTGTAGATATTCGGCCCACTGAAGATAGTGAGTACTCAGGGCCCCAGTGTTGGGCAGGGGTAGGTGGGTTGCTGCTGTGGGATGCAGAGGGTGATTCCATCCCTCAAAATGCACTCTTGGCAGGCAAGGTGGGAAGGTCTCCTAGTTCCTAGTCATGGCTTGGCCACTGGATCAGGGGGCCAGACTGTTGCATCAGCCCCTTCTTTGCTGGAGCACTCTCCTACCCTTAGCCTCCAGCATCTTTTCTTTGCATCTGTAAAGCAGACATAGCAGTTGCTTAGGACTGTTAAAGGGGATTCACATATAAAACTGGGAAAGGGGAGCTGGAGTGATAGCACAGTGGGTAGGATGTTTGCCTTGCATGCAGCCGACGTGGGTTTTATTCCCAGAATCCCATGTGTTCCCCTGAGCACTGCCAGGATAATGCCTGAATGCAAAGCCAGGAGTAACCCGTGTGCATCTCCAGGTGTGACCCAAAAAGCAAAAAAAAAAAAGCTGGGAAAGGAGTTGCAGCTATACCACACATGCTCCCAATTTGAGCTCCTGTCGGGGAGAGATCTAGATGCTTAGCACATGCTTTGCATGCAGGAACTCCAGGCTGGATCCTGACACACAGTCCCCCAAGCACCACTGGGAGTGACCCCTGAACACAGAGCCAGGAGTGTCCCCAAGAAACCCCCCCAAAGGCATTGCTTTCAAAATAATGATCACAGAATGATAATACTACAATAGCACTATCTCATAATAGAGGATATGGTTCTATAACACAGGGTCACAATAGAGCTGTACAGTTATGTATTCCAGTTACAAGAATATATCACTGTAGTGATGCTTATGGGGCTAATGGTACCTCTGTTCATTCATCCACTTACTTTGCGCACATCTACATTTGTTTGCACTCTGACTCTTCCATTTATTTTTTCCCTTGGTCTTACTAACTACCTATTTTTTTGTTTTGGGGCCACACCCAGCAATGCTCAGGGCTTTCTTCTGGCTCTGCACTCAGGAATCACTCTTGGCAGGGCTTGAGGGACTACATATGGTGCCGGGGATGGAACCCCAGTTGGCTGAGTGAAAGGCAAATGCCCTAGCGACTGTACTATCTCTAGCCCCACACAGTTAAGTATTAAGGGAAATGTCATGATGTTCTGTGAATGTTCAACAAAAAAACCCAAACCAGAAACCAATAGTATGCATACATATAGAGAACAAAATGAAGAAATGTGATAAAAGTGTTCGGAGGAGGCCAGAGAGAGCCCAGTGGTCAGAGGCACATGCTTTGTATGAGTTAGGATCTGAGTTTGAACCCCAGCACCACAGACCACAGCACCCCTCCCAGCACCTCTGGGTATAGCCTCTAAACAGCACATCTGGGGTGCACAGCAGGACCTGAGCAGCTCCATATCTTCAGACCTTAGCACCAAACTGCCTGGTCAGGTGTCATGAGAAGTGTCCCCTACGCTACCTGAGCACTGTTCTAAAGACCCCGGAAATCTTAACAGGAGAGTTAAATGAATGAGGTACAGGTTTTCAGTGTATCCTTCATTTTTTGGGGGGGCCACACCCAGCAATGGGATTTACTCCTGCCTCTGTGCTCAGGAATTACTCCTGACAGTGCTCTGGGAACCATATGGGATGCCAGGGATCAAACCAGGGTCACCTTTTAACGAGGCAAATGCCATACCCACTGTACTATCTCTTCAGCCCCTTTTTATCCATCTTTTAATTTAGCTGTGGAGGGAAATTGGGCCACACCTGCTAGTGCTCAGAGGTGATTCCTGGAAGTGCACTGGGTGCCCATGCAGTGCTAGGGATCAAACTGTGTCAGCTGCAAAAGGCAAGCACCTTAACCACTGTACTTTCTCTCTAGCCTCTGTGTTCATCTTTTAACTATATTACTGATTTGAGGAAAAGGTATTTTATTTTGGGGGCTACACCTGCAGATGCTCAAGGGCTATTCCTGGTGTGATGGGTAGGAGCGAGCCTTGGTGGTGCTCGGGGAAATCATGTGGTACCAGGGATTTGAGCCAGGATGGACTTGCATGCAAGGAAGGTGCCTTATCCCTGTGATATCTCTTTTGCCTTGATTTGACAAGTTTTTTTTTTTAACAAAATGTTGTGAAGGGCTGGGAATGTAGCCCAGAATTAGATCTGGTGCATAGTATGTGTGAGTCCCTGGGTTTGATCCCTAACACACAATAAAATGCAAAACCTGTGGGGCCAGAGAGAGTACAGTGGTTCAGGCACTTGCCTTGCATGTGGTAAACCTTGGTTTGAATCCCTGCCATGGCATATGGTTCCCCCAAACACTACCAGGAGTGATCATTGAGCTTAGAACCAGGAGTAAGCCCTGTGTACCACATGGGGTCCTGCTCCCCTTTCAAATAAAAAACCCAGGGCTGGAATGATAGTACAGCAGATAGCTTGGATACATCCAACCTGGGTTCAATCCCTAGCATCCCATATGGTCCACTCAAGTACCACCAGGAGTGATTTCTGAGTGAAGAGCCAGAAGTAACTACTGAGCATGCCAGATGTGCCCCAAAAAGCAAATAAAAGTAGTGATTTCTGAATGCAAAGCCAGGAGTAACCCCTGAGCATTGCCCAATGTGACTAAAAAATTAAAAAATAAAAAAAGGAAACAAAATCCCTAAAAATTCGTGAGGGCATGTATGGGTCAGTGGTAGAGCATCGACTTGCATGTATGAAGCCCTGGGTTCCATTTCAGATACTTTACTTTCCCATGAACATTGAGAGGAGGAGTCACCCCAATGAACATACCTGGGGAGTAAACTCTGAGCCACACTAGGGTGGTTCAAACTATTTTTCAAGTTGCAAATTGGGGGCTAGAGAAATCAGGCAGGGGTAAAAGCCCTTGCCTTGCACATAACTAACCTGGTTTTAATCCCTGACAGCACATAGGGTCCCCCGAGCACAGCCAGTCGTAATCCTTGAGCAGAGCTCCAGGAGTAAGCCCTAGACACAGCCAGATTTGGTCCCACACAACAAACAAAACAAAACAAAATAAAAATTAAAAGTTTCAGATTGGAGGACAGTGTCCATCCCTTAGATGATGTTGATGTTATAACAGGCTGGGAATGAAGTTACTAACCTAAGCACAGCTGTCTTGACTCCCAAGCCTATTTCTTTACCTGTAAAATAGATCCTTGTATTTCAAGAAGTTATTCTGCTTGACAAATAAACATGTAAATCCAATTGCAGGGGCTGGAGCAATAGCACAGCGGGTAGGGCGTTTGCCTTGCACGCGGCTGACCCGGGTTCGATTCCCAGCATCCCATATGGTCCCCCAAGCATCGCCAGGACTGATTCCTGAGTGCAAAGCCAGGAATAACCCCTCTGCATCACTGGGTGTGACCCCCCCCTAAAAATCCATTTGCATAAAAACCGAAAGGAAGATAAATAAAGCAGATACAGATATTCATTGATTGGCAAAGAGATTTTTTTTTGTTTGGGGGACCACATCTGGTGTTGCTCGGAGCTTACTCCTAAATATACTCAGGATCTCTCTAGCAGGCAGGCATCTGGGCTTCCATAAGACCATATGAGAGCAAATTCTGGTCAGCCACATGCAAGGCAGGCTCCTTGCCTGCTCTACTTTCTCTCTGGCCAAAAAAGACATTTTAAAAATATCACTCCTAAATGAAAAAGGAAAAGAAGGGCTTGAGAGTGAAGTATAGTGCATATACTTTGAATGAAGGATGCCTGGTTTTGATCCCCCTGCACCACATAGTTTCCAGAACACCACTGGGAGTGCCCCTAAGCACAGAGCTAGAGTAGTCCCTGAGCACCACATGGTGTGACCCCCAAACCAAAAAAAGAGCTTAAAGATCACTGTTTTCCATGCAGTGGTGACTCAGGAGATTTCACTGCCTACAACAGTCTTCACTGTCTTTTTTTTCATTAGTGAAACACCATGAGGTACAGTTGTAGACTTAGCAAAGAGGTAGATTATTATAGTATTACAGGAGATTAATTTGAGAACAGTGACTATGTTTCCAGCTTCATATGAGAAACAGACACCATAAGATATTTTTTGGAGAAACCATTATTAATAATAGCACTGTAAACCACAGAATCTCAATAAAAAATTAAAAATAAGTAAAATAAAATAAAGATCACTATTTTATTTCACTTCATCTTATTATATTTTTACTGTATTTCATTTTCAGTTTTTTTTATCTTTTGCAGTGCTAGGGATAGAGCCCCAGGGGCTCACACATGTGAGGCAAGTGCTCCACTATTGAGCCCTAATCCAAAGTTTTCTCTTTAAAGAGAAAATCAAGACTCCTACACATGCTTCAAAGGGCTAGTGTGCTGTGTTTTTGTTTGTTTGTTCAAAGACCACATCTGGCTATGCTCAGGCCTTACTCCTTGCTCTGTGCTCAGGGATCTTTCCTGGTTGGGCTGGCAGGACCCTATGGGATGACAGGTATTGAACCTGGGTTGGCTGTGTGCAAGGCAAGCACCTTACCCACTGTACTATTATTCTGGCCTCATCATGCACTGCTTTTTATGAAGGAGGCCAGGATCAATCCCCCATAGGGTCACGCACACCTTCCACCCCCCCCCCCAGATAAGTAAAGAAAAAAATCAACTTTCCACTTATCTCTGAGTGGGGGGTAGAAGGTGTGCTTGAACCTATGGAGGATTGATCCTGGGCTGCCTTCATTAACAGCAGTGCTTGATGCGGCCAGAATAATAGTACAGTGGGCTGGAACAATAACACAGTGGGTAGGGAGCTTGCCTTTCATGCAGCCAACCTGAGTTCAATTCCCAGCATCCCATATGGTCCCCGAGCACTGCCAGGAGTGATTCCTGAATGCAGAGCTAGGAGTCACCCCTGAGCATCACCAAGCATGACCCAAAAGTTTTTTAAACATTAAAATGTGCGGGCTGCCATTCGCCCTCTCCTCTCTGGAAAGAAAGATGGCGGCCACATGGGAGCCTTGTGGACAGCAGGTATGAGCCGGGAGTGTGGGGGCGACTAAAACCTCATGGGAAGGGGG